ACTGAACTTTCCACCCTGAAGCATCATAGGTAGCTAGCGCCATGAAGCAAACTATCTGCATCAGTCTTACTGCCACTAAAGACATGGAGTGAAGTGCTCCTCATTGAAGTATCACAAAAATTAAACAAAAGTTCCTGTCCTTAGAATGAATTGCTTCCACTCAGTGCTGTTCATTATCCTTTACCTTTAGTATTACCTATCCTTTAGTCTATCTATCCCTTAGTATTATTCACATAATACTATACAACATTCTTTTTACACATGCATTCTCACTCTGGATGAGTATTAAACAGTGCAAGAAAGATTACCCAACATAAAACAGTTACATTGGGGAAGAAGTCAGCATGAAGGAAAAGTAACATTATGCCTACAACAAGGTTTTGTTTTTTAACAAAGTGTATTGAGGCTTCATGAAGGTTTGGTAGTGCCCTACTTACTGAAAGGATGAAAGATACTAATGTGGCATGAGCAGGAAAAATTAAGGCATTACAACTATAGAAAGACAATTTGTCATGTATTTAATGGTGTTTGCATAATACAAAATAATGAATGAAAAGATCATGAGAAGATTTAGTCCAAAAGCCAATAAATCATAAAACTTGCGAGAGCTTGGCGTAAGCCCACGTATCCACACAACCCGCTTGGTCCTGCACTACTTGCAAAATTGTTCAATTTTTTTTCTTGAAGGCTTCCACTTTTGTTCCTGTAATGTTTCTAATAACTTGCTGGGATAATAGTGAACAGCCAAGAACCTCTGATGTTCATACACTGTTCTTTGATTGTGCCTAATGGGACTTGTACTCTTCACTGGCTCCATTCTGCCTTTCCTACCTTATCGTTTTCTCACGAATGTGTTATTTTGCTGTGTAAATCTGGGACCTGGCGCTCAAAGTATTTTCCATGTATATATTATGTGATACCTTCATTTTTCTCCTTTCCAGCGAGTACTTTCTAAAAGCTTTGAGATGGTCCAAGTAATTTAGGTGCCTTGTGTTTATGTATACCATACATGTTCTCTGCATTCTCTCTTGTTTCAGCAATCTCTCCTGTTCTGAAGGGAAAAGTGAGTACTGAGCAGTGCTCAAGGAAACACAGCACAAGTGATTTGAATAATATGAGCATTTGTGATGGGTTCCCACAATCCGCACTATCATTTTTCTAGACGATATATTTGCTTGGTTATGCCTAAATGTTAGGTTGTTGGACATCATTATTCCCAGATTCTTCACATGTTTTCCAGTTATGGGTAGGTTTGATTGTTACCCCCAGTACCCTGCATTTTGTTTAAGGTTTTCATTTTATCAATATCTAATTAACCTGAATTTATTACTGTTAAACATCATGTTATTTTCTGCTACCCAATCGAAAACTTTATTAATATCAGCTTGTAGTTTATGTATGTTAGTTTTTATATTTATTCCTTTTCTTTTTGTTGCTTTTTCTTCCAGATCGATACAGTAATACCCATGTAAGGGAAAAACGTGTAATAATGACGACGATGCATTAAGGAAATAAAACTTGTACCTTACTCATTCTTGCATGCACTACAGGAGTACCTTAGGGTACTGGTAGGTGATGGGTAGTGATCACCATCACCTAGGTGCTTAGGTGATGGGTAGACAACCATCAAAGTACTGAACTTAAAGATATAAAGATTGGTCCCATGAGAGTATAAATTAAAATGAGCATACTGTACTTGAAAATTATGGTTCAACGGGTTAGCCAATAGGATTTTTTTTCCTGTGGCCTTATTTTATATTAAGAAAAAATATATACTTATTTTTCTTATATATTTATAATAATAAATATATAAATAAATATATATATAAATATACTGTATACCTATAAGAAATATATTCCCCACTGGAAGCATTTCTTGGATTGAGTGAACAAATTATAAGAGACATACTGAACATATGTATATATTTATCTCTCAGAATGTTTGGTAATATGTTTATTGTTTGTGATGTGTTTATATGTATGTATTAACACGCTGTACTGAACAGGGTGAGAATAGCTTGAGCTACCTCATCCCTTTGTGTGTATTTTACCTCAATAAACTTATTTCAAATTCAATTCAATTTCAATTCAATACTGAACATAGATAATGATAAATAAATTAATGCTAGTCTCCTGATGATCAAAATAATACAAATAAGATACCTACTGTAATTCTACAAATGTAGTTTCAATGACAACAGGGCAATCGGTCTACTGGTGAACGTGTTAGAACTGCATGCATATGCAGTTACTGCATTAAGCCTAGTGATTGTACAGGCAATGAAATACCTTTACATCATAAATCTGGCAATGGGACAATAAAAACTGACAAAAATCTATATGCTAAAATCAATAGCAGGTAGATGAAATGTAAAATGACATCTATGTTATGAGGTAGGAAGTTTCTGGACTGTAAATTATGTGTAATTAAAAATAAAATGAGATTTGATTGCATGCCTATTGTTTTGTAACTCCTCATTTACAGTGTTGTGGAGTAGACATGAGTGTGTGATCATTGGCGAGATAAAAGGCAAATGTTATTTCATTCATTTGGATCATCAGAGATTAGAACTTGGGCCTCAAAGTACAAGACTGGCAAAGTTCAATTCTCTGGTGATCCAAGTGGACGAAATGTTATTACTCACACTATAATGGATTGAACCTTACAGCAAGTATTATATTGAGGTCTGTACACTACTCTGAACTGGAGAGTAGCACTTTAAAGAAACTTGCTGACTGACCTTATGAAAACAAATACAGTAAATAATGTGAATGTATGCTTAGACTTGCCCAGGTAACAGAACTGGTTAGATTATTCAATGCAATGTTGTCCTAGAAAATGATCCCTCAACTGTTGTACAACAATGTCCCCAATTACTGACAGGTATGGAGACAGGGAAGGAATGAAACCCAATAATCCTGAGCAGGACCTCAGAAGGTTTCCAGGAGCAGGAAACCACCCTGAGCAGGACTCGGACCCCAGGTGTTCATGCAACTGAATCAAGTTACGTACAGAGGTTCTCGTTCGTTCTCTGTACAGGCGATTACCAAACGGAATGCATTGAATAATGATGAAGCCAATTCCATTCACAACTTTAAAGGAGCTAGATCACATTTCCTTGAAGTCAGTGATAGTTAACACTTTTAAGGCAAGTGTGCTAACCATTTAAGCCACAGGTTACTCTAAAAATATACAGAGTATTGTGATACTCTTCTTGTAATTATCAAAAAAATCTCTCGACAGCTTTACCCTCTCTCCACTTCTCAATCAACATGCTCAAGTCATCTTTGTTCACTCATCTCTTAATTGTACCTTTCAGTTACCTTGCCATTCCTTACTCTATCTCAGATCCTCTATTTTTGCTGTTCTATTCTTTCATTTATTGTTATGGTCGTTCCACACCACTGTCGAGCCTTTATGTGTACACATGGCATTACAACTTGCTCATGCCGCCCTCTGCTTCACCTTCTTATCTTTTCTTTTTCTAACCAGGTTTTTGCATGCTCGTCTTTCTCCGTCCCTCGGTCAATCCTCTCAACTTTGCTTGCATAATTCTTCTTTTGTAAATCACATATGCTGAGTAACTACTCATAGCACTTTCCTCTTCAAACTAATTTCACACAAGGTTTTCTTCTTTGCCACCATATCTTTACTTTTGTTTACATTCAGTTCTAGCAATCTTCTCGCACACCAATAAAACTTGCATCTTTGTCACTCCCTGCTAAAAGAATGGCATCACCATACATTAAATTTGATAAGCTACAACTATTTATATCATAAACTAGGTGTATGAAATGTTCACATGAATACAAATACAGTATTCTAACCTTCGTAGAACAATTCATATACTGTATATTATGACTAAGTCATAATTGCCTTATAGTAAACTTATTTCTATCAGTTAAAAGCATGCAAATTTTCTTTTGGAAGAGAATAAAACATGCAAATTTGTCAAAAGGGTTTTTGATTGTCTTTTTAAAAGTTGGTGGGTCCAAGAGTATCAACAAACACTAAATCATTTTGGCTGTGTTAGACCAATTTAAAATTGTTTCATTAAACAAAGAGTAAGAACTGATTCAGAAAATATAGGAGCACAGCAAAATAGTGAAGTACAGCACGTAAATATTTAGCATACAAAAGCATACGAGGTCCAGAAGAGACATTTATCAGTAAGCGCCCTAATAAAATACTAATTCACTCATAACTATATTCAAGTGCAAGAGTGCAATCATTGGTCTCCAGCAGATAAGCTAAGATGTCCTTAGTCTGGAATCCAAAACATGGTATAAAAATTCAGACGTCATCCCACTTAACAATACAGCTAAAGCTAGATATAAAATTGGCCCATATGACCAGAGAAGAGATATTAAAGTGATAACAATTTTGCAACATTTCAAAAATAATTTTTATATAATTCACTAAGGTGCATAAAGATTTTGCTGCATCTGGTTTTTGGATTTATTAAAAAAAAAATAATTATAGTCCAGATTTCAACTAACTGAACGCAGGCTCACTCAACCATTGATCCTCGCATGCCATTTTTTTTTAAACTAATAAAACAATTATATTAAAAAATATAAATAGGTAATCAAACATGTATGTCATAAGCCAAAATCAAAATCAGTCATGCTCTCAATAGAATGTGATTAAAGTAGTACAACTTAGGTCAATTTTTTAAAGTTTATTTCCAAAGTCTTTGCAAAACTAATATAAACATTGCATATAATTTATGTATAAATATATATACTGCATGTGTATACATATATATATAATATAATATATATATATATAATATTATAGTATATATACATATATATACATACTTGGTACATTGAAATCTGTACTTGTGTAGCTTTATATTACTAATGAGGTAGTTGCTGAGAGTTACATTAGTTATTACAAGAAGTGAACAACCAACATAGTGGCAATCAACAGTGTTTATAGACTATGTTGTACAATACAACAATTGTATTTGCTAGCTGTGATGCTTAACACCAACCTCCTCCTTGTCGGTACATTTTGAACGAATCTTTAGCTGGAGGAGTTCCAGTATCGGACAGATCTAGTATGGAGATGCCCTCTGGAAATGACAGGGTGCCACTCTTTGCATTCTGTAGAGAAAAAACAAGAGTAACGTAATTAATGAACACTGAATATATTTTAACTTTACTTCTCCTATCAATCATCATCAATCAATCAAATCATCTCAAGATAACTTCCTACAATGAATCTTTACAACAAGAGCTTGGTATATATAAATACAAAATACAGTACAGAGAGAGCCAGTTTCACCAGTAAATTGATTGAAATTTGTTCAAGTAAATAATTTTGTTGGATTTATTGCAAAGCTGACTGAAACTTACAGGAGTTTTCTTCTTACGAACAGATTTGGCATTCTTCTCTGGAGACTGGCTCTCAGCATCACTATTGGTTCCCTGGGTACCTTCAGATCCCCGACGCTGGCGAGATATCCGCTTCTGTAGGGAAAAAATTTCAGGGTTCTGAAACGGCTTTTATCAACATTACTGAAATAATGCCTTTTTAAACTAATGGGATGGAATATTGTACCTTTTAACTTTGTATTTTCCTACATTTCAGTAACCTTTACACCAAATTTCACATTGAGGCTTTGGCAATGCATCAACCATTCTACTCAGAGAATCAAAAACCATGAAGTCCCAAAAACCAACCACAAAAGCTCAAGTAATGAGAAAATAATATTACCACTACATTATACAGTGTCTGAAATCTATATTTGAAATATATTTCAGACACTAAATTGAAAAGAAATATATGAAATAAATATAGCATTTTAACCAGATACAGTTGAGCACCAAAATCCCAGAATGGACGGGTTGAAAAATTTACATCTTTGTGACAACAGCAAGGGGCAGCTGCCTCCCTTCCTACAGAGGAAGGGACACCTGTCCCCACCACTGAAGGAAGGGAACAGGGTGCCATCTGCCACCACTGCTGCAGGGGGAAGGCAGCGGCCTCCAACCCTGCAAAAAAGCAGCTTCCACCACCTGCACAGAGAGCAGATCCCACCAACTATACAAACAGCAGCTGCTATCAATAAAGCTCATTGCCACACCAAGGCCCCATGAACAGATACACACCTTAAACAGTGCTCCAGCTTTCTTTGTGAAAAGAACTGAAGTACGACGATTGACGCCAGAGGGCGAACTTGGCACTGAAGGTGGCTCTTCTTCAGGACCATCCTCACTGCTCTCTTTGGTAGGAGAGGCTGCATCAGCCGATTCACTTTCCACTGTTGATATATAAGATCAAAATGAATTTTAAGTAGTTAATTATTTATATCCAATTTTTCCTTTTGCAATTAAATGGTAGTGAAAGAAGTTTCTGACATAGTTTCATTGCATATTTAGAGTGGGTTGACTACTTCACATATATGGCAGCCCATCAGCATGTTAAAAACTAGATAAAGTTTAAAGTCATTTTATATACAAGATATTTTAAATAAAGCCAAAAGCTAACTGCATCACTGTCACCACAGCCACTCACATCTTCCAGTATGTCCATCAACCAATCACAGACTGGCAGGCCAAGACATGCCCCAGCATCAGTCAGGCATGCAGGAAATCAGTTCAATAGGTGCAAAAAAAAAAAAATTTGGGGGGTCTTTCGTTTCTTTTTACTTAGAAATTTATCATCATCTCGATGCCATTTGCCATCATGGAAATGTTAAATGTATGTTGAAAGAATGCATAAATAGTGATAACATATGAACCGTACAAAAATACAATGTAGTTTTATATATACATGTAGTGCTGCATATACAATGTTGTATATGTATACAATGTGCATATATATACAATGTTGTGCTGCAGCAGCAAGGAGCCATCCATTTAGTACACAACTTCCTCGCAACAAACTTTTACAATTATAATTTGTAATACAATTTAAGGGTGATATTATTATATAACAATTATGAAGTACATAAACAATTGCAAAAGACCTACTACCCCTATCTTGGAGTCAACAGAAATTAACAATAAGGTTCCCAAGAAATTTGCAGTCAAAATTTGTAAGAGTTTAAGATATAGAAATTAATGAAAGAGGTGAGGCCAGATGAAAAAATCCGGAGTAGACACAAAGAGGATAAATCTAGATAACTATGAATATGCTACAGCAAAATAAGTATATATTGCCATATTATTGAAACAAATATGCAGAATACTAACATTTCTTAGCTGGCGGACTCACTGATGGTCCAGAGAGGGTACGAGAACGCTTCGGAGGCCGTCCGGGTCCACGTTTCTTTGGTGTTTCCTGAGCAGAATCTGTTCAGACAAGTTCAGTACTTCAATATTGCAGGTGAAACTAATTTATCTCAAGTACAAATATAAAAGAATAATATATTATAGAAAATGGCAAATTTACAGGTGCAGCACCATTACATGCATCATCAGACACACAGGGAAGACAAGGGGCCAGATTCATGAAGCAGTTACTAAAGCACTTGCGAACCTGTAAATCTTTTCTCAATCTTTGGCAGCTTTGTTTACAGTTATTAAACAGTTAATAAGCTCCGAAGTACCAGAAGGCTGTTTATAATAATAACAACAATTGATTGGGAAGTTTTCATGCTTATAAACTGTTTAATAAATGTAACCAAAGCCTTAAAAGATTGAGGAAAGATGAACACGTTCGTAAGTACTTGCGTAACTGCTTCATGAAACTGGCCAAAGGACCCCAGCATAACAATACACCGATCACTGAATGCCACCCATGCAAGTTGGAGCTCCCATAAATATAGCTTCATTAAACCCACGATATAATGAAACAAACTTTTGTACAAAAGAATAAGAAAAACAGTCACCAGCTGTACAGAACACTTGTTCAAAAGACACAAGGTATCCACCATAAACGTATCACGATCCCTGTAACAGTGCCCCCCACACACACACACACACACACACTATAAGCATGTGGCTCTTCGCTACCACAAAGACATCCACTTGACCCTTGGATGACGGTGTATGTGATAAGGAACATGCTCTGTCTCTGGGGTAAGTCCGATTCACATTACAACATTTTTCCAATATAAAAAATTAAGGATATTGGAGTTTGTTTATAAATTTTGAAGTGCCAGAAAAATCACTGCACACCATGACACCAATAAACTGAATGTGAAGCAGAAAAGATGAAGAATAACTTAAAAATTGAGAATGATTAAACAAAATCCTCCTCCAGTTTGGGACAGAGCCTAAGACGGATCAACTGTAAACTAGACCAAATCCCCAATTGACACCTCATGCTGGTCCACCTTCCCACCCATGTAAGAGAAGTGGCCACTTAGCTCTGTCAATAAGAGGAAACATCCTCAGGCCTGGAAGAAGAACAATTGCTAATGAGAATTAGTCATAATCACCCCATCAGGGTAGAAAAGTACCACTCACTCTACATGAAAGTAAAGGGAAAAGAAAGGCTTCAGAAGGAAGCCAGTAATTGTAGACTTGCAGACAATCACCCCCAGGCACACAGGAGACACAAAGTTCCCTGCCTGAAGTGCTGGAGCAAGGTAAGATGATAATCTTATAAGGCTTGCAGCAAAACAAAGTAGGGATTGAAAAGCAAAACACTAAGCAGTTGAAGCACATAAATCAAAGCACTCAAAAGAGGAATTCAACCAGAGCCCTTCTGGAAAACTGTGCTTTTGAATCATAACAAAAGATGAAAACTGAAACCTCTAAACTTAAACAAAAAATTTTGTGTACAAGCCTGCAACAGAGCAACCACTTTTAAAGCAAGTGGCTGACCAATATGTTCAAATAAGACAAAGCCCACAAACAAATGACTGGCCACTCTAGCGGGTTGAAGCAATCTAGAATGCAACTTCGGGATGTAGGAGACCCAATTATATATAAAGTATTATGTTGCTGATCATTTTTGTAATAATTTAATAGAAGGAATGACTTTTGGGGTTCAACAACAACCCTCCAGGCCACACAAAACATAGTAGTGTTGAATAAATCCACAAGGGCCGTGATGAGGGTTAGAACCTACATCCGAAAGGATACCAGACGTGCCTTAATCGACTGAGCATCACATTGATGCATCAAGCAATTGTGATTTCTGTGTTTAATAGTACTGCTGTGAACATAGTACCATAGTGAACAAAACACACTGACCAAATCCAGCAACAGGGGGACCCACTTAACTGCTACCACCCAGTGGCAGTTAAAAATAGTGGTCAAATTTATACGAGCGAATCTTCTACAGGTCCCACCATTTGGGGAAAAAAAAAGATCCATGTTGCACCAGTGCAATATGTAACTCTGATCCCATTAAACGTGATTGCCAGGGCAGAATGGATCCTGCTAAATGGAGCATTGGGTTAGTATGGATAGCAAATTATGGAAAACCTAGAGCATTCATGACTGAAACACCACACTTAAATATATATCCTTAATCCCCATACAAAAGATAAGTAAATAAACTGAACAGCTAACATTATCTTCAAAAATTCTTGTGCCTAAGGTGATGTAAATAAAAATCTCGCAAACCCCCCTCAGCTTTTCACCCTGAAATGCTAGACCAACTAACCCTCCTTTTCTGGCTTTGTTGCTTTGGCTTCGTCAGCAATGGCAGGAGCTGGCTCTTGTTGATCAGTTAGTGTCCTCTGTGGAGTCTTAGTCACCCGGGCAAAAAAAGTATCAATATGCTTCTGCTTTGGATCATCCTGTGGGACACACAAATGATAATGATATTAATAATAAGGTACTGTATTATACAAATAAAAGTACTGTATTTAATCGTGGACTGCAGTGGACCAGAGATAGAACAGACAAAAACCTGTCTTACTAGACCAGTAGGCAAGATCCTATTTCCCCTTATGCCATCTTCTGGCTATATTGCTGGGAAGCCTAAACATTCACTTTTCATAATGCTAGCAGACAAGCCAAGTAACTTATCAACATCTCCATATGCTTAATGGAGTGGAAAAAGGTGTTCCTATTCAACACACACTAACTGCTTTTCCTAAACATCTGGCCATTTCTACCATCCTTACATAACATATGCACCCCTCAGTCAACTATTAACATGTACTCTGTTCCCACGGGTCTGAGGATGGAAAGTGTATATATATATATATATTCAGGAAATCCTTCATACGAACAATGCTATATATCTGGTAAACATACATCAACCCTTAATCTATAATCACTCAATATACTTCCCTACAAAGTAAACAAATGCTCTTCGCAACAATCTACATGCATTTTGTATATTTCCAGTTCCTTATCTTTTATAATTACAATAGTCATACTTCCTACGAGACCTTCATAAAATATTAGCTAAAAACAATTTTTTATAATACTGTAAGTTTTTAATAAACTCACTTTAGGCGTTCCTTTAATGCCGGCTCTCCGCTGTTGGCGCTGTGAAGGTGTTGTTATTGGCGAAGACAAGGACACATTGCGAACCCTGGTCGGAGTTACGGACATGCTTGGACTATGGGTGAGGTGCGACCCAACCATCTGTGGTGGTATTGATGGTGGAGTGCTTGGGCGACTTGGTTCCCCTGGCTCTGCCTCATCATCAATCACTGAACTGTCATCAATATCTGAAAGAACCATTTTCAACACTGCGTACAACTATCATAATTAAACAATGTACCAACTTTACCTATTCATATTGTATGTAGCTATTATATACCTCAACACAGATGTCCCTGGAAGCTCCCATCCCTATCTAAGCTCGATCATGTTGCCTGTTTTAAATTCCAAATGCCATCATGAGTTTAATTCATTAGGTAATCCTCCACTTTCCCTTTCAACAAAGTTGGCTATATACTATCTACCCATTATTCAAATCCTTTGTGCTTTTATCTTGCATGTCTTCCATAAAAGACAACAGTCAATTCTCTACAGATGGCAGGACGATCACTTTACTGCTCCTCATGGCTAACTTACTGCCACAATTGTTACATCTCTTGACCCACTATACTGCAGCAATTATCACATCTCTTGACCCACTATACTGCAGCAATTATCACATATCTTGACCCACTATACTGCAGCAATTATCACCTCTCTTGACCCACTATACTGCAGCAATTATCACATCTCTTGACCCACTATACTATACTTGCTTACATTCATTTGCTGTGCATATGAATGTAAGCAAATTCAACAAAGTTTTACTTACATATTAAAAATCTACTTTTTACATGTACAGTAATTTAATGACCAAATCACACGTCAGAAAGATGGGGAAACGACAGCGTTTCGGTCCGTCCTGAACCATTATCAAGTCGTGTGTGATACAGTAATTTAATGTCAAAAGGTATGAAATGACTCATTCTATCATTTGGACTAATAACACATTACTTGCAAAGAAAAATAATATATCAGATGCACCGTGATCGTTCATAACCAATTATTATGTTCAAGCAGGAATTCATACTATAGGAAGATAAGTGCACTATGTCCTAGCGTCTCTCTTCTCGTAACTTACCAGAGTCCTCCTTGTCAGAGTCATCATCAGAGTCATAATACACTGTACTGGCCTTCTGACTTACACTTCCTGATTGATTCAGGGCCAATTTCCTTCTTACAATGCCAATTTCTCTCCTGAAAAAAAAAATTGATGCAAAGATTAATTAAAAGGCATCAAATAACAAGAAATCCCAACACCTCTCCTTCACTTGCAACAGTTTTGTGATGCTAGAGACTTTTTAATCATTCTGTACAACTTTCAATGAGTGTGATGGGAAAAAACCTGTGAAAAGACTGCACTGGATTAGAGCGTAGTATCTGACAAACAGTAACTAGATGGATACAGTGAGAGGAGGAACGTCAGGGTAGATGGGAGTGGCTAGTGGGGTTCTACAGGATTCCATAAAGTGGACCACTACTGTTCCTAAGTAGATGTTTTTCCAAAGGATGTAGAATCATATATGACAAATGTTTACAGACAATGCAAAATTGATGGGAATTTTATGGAGTGAAGAAGACTAGAAAATATTACAGGAATGGATGGACAAATAGCTACCGGAATTTAATCCCCCACAATGTAAAAAATGAGGTTTGGGAGCTGGAAATGAAGGCCAGAAGGCAAGTACAAAATACAAGCGAATCTGCCATAAGATTAAAAAGAAAAAAGAAAAAACTGGGCATGAATATAACACCAGCCTAAATACCAGACGGGCCAATGTTACTAATTCCTCAAATGATACTCAAATATCACAATAGATACTTTAATTACAAATGGTTACAAGCACAACATTAAAAGACTCACCTAATGAGCTTAACCCGTTTAATACGAGCTACATGGTGTCGTAGCATGTTGGCCTTATCCAATAGCTCCAGCAGAGCCTTTTCTCTCTCCTCAAAACTCAAGGTATCATCAGCATCAGCAGCAAGGGCTTCATCAACTGTGAAGTAAAAGGCACTGATGAAGAGCCAGCCTATAAGTTTACTTGCTACCTCTGCATTTGTCCAAAATATCACAACCAAATGAGTTGTAACTAAAATTTAGAAAAAAACAAAATCTAAAAATATTTAACAATCCCCTTGTACAGTATGCTTACCTATACATGAAATGCCTTGGATAAGATGTATGTTTAGAAATATATGTATTCTATACATTATGTGAGGTTAACCAAATTGGAGGCGATGAGTCACAATAACGTGGCTGAAGTATGTTGACCAGAATGCACACACTAGAAGGTGAAGGGACGACGACATTTCGGTCCGTCCTGGACCATTCTCAAGTCGAAACGTCGTCGCCCCTTCACCTTCTAGTGTGTGGACTGGTCAACAAACCCAATTGGAGATTGACATACTAGTAGTTAGGAGTGGGTTTGAACAGGTCAAGTTGTAAGCCCATCATTTCACTTGCGTAGTTTTAACACAAGGCTATAATTTTCATTGTAATGCAAAGTTTGACACTTTCAAGTGAACCCTGACTTGGATTCTCAGAAATCATTTGGCTTCACACAAAAATAACTAGTTATATATATACTCTCCCTTGCAATAATTCTTAATATTAAGTTGCTGTTGATGTTGCCCTTGGATCTCAGGGTCGCTCATCAATCTTATGCCTAGGTTGCCCTGTCTACTCCACAAGCTCACTTCCCTTGAGGGGATGGTCTCGTGTATACATTTAAAAAATTACAGGAGTATTAAGCTGGTTTCATGTAAATCAACTAATGAAGAAAAGGGCATAAGCATTACTGTACAATGTGACGAGTGGTAAAACACAAAAAAATGTTACACCGAGCTATATTACGTTCATTAGGAATGATTTAAGATTTACTATCGATTTATGATCATAGTTTTGCCTAATGCTGCATGCATAATTTAACTGGGTCATGAATATCCCAATTTACACATGCAATTGTACAACAAGGAAGACTCTTTAAGTGGACCTTCCTCAAAAAGAAGTTTATAAACAACGGACATTTGAGAACAGTCTAGTTAAAAAAAAACTTCCTCAAACTAAAAACCATGCCCATTGAAAGAAGGCTTATGCCACTACCTATACACTTTAACAGTTTAGTGTTCTGGTGTTAAAATGTGTTGTCCATAATACCTACTGTCACCATTCCCATGATTACATCAACATGTCATCCGATTTAATTTGTTTTTCCACTTCCTATTTGCATCAATAAGTCGCAAATCTTTTGAAATATGCATGCAGTCTTCGGGCAGAGCTTACAGCCACCAACTTCAGTATTAGTATTAGTGGCCCAAGCAGAGCTTCCAGCTTGCTCACGTGGCTACACCATATGATCTAACAACACACTCCAGGCTCCTGGATATTCCTACCAAGATTCCAAGTGTTTTCTTACATCTTTTGTATAATATTTTGTAATGAAATTATTGCTATAGCAAGATAAAGTGATAATAGAGCATAAAAAGATTAAAATGTAAGGAAAATTGATCAGCAATGTGAAGGGTACAACTCTTAGGAAATGCTGTATTATTGTCAGGAAGAATGGTTGTGTTTGGCCTTCCAACAGTACTGACAAATCACAACCCTCGTCAAAATAGGACTAAGTTCAAGAAACTTCACCAGGATCGAAAAGGCCTTGCCGTACTGATCCACATTACCGTACAAGTGTTTATACCACAACAAGAATAAATAAGGCCAACAGAATGAGTGATTTCCTCTCAAGTCCACTCCACCACATAACATCCAAGAAAACTCTAGATAAATTGAAGATGGTGAAATCTAGATAGCAATAAATGCTCTGAAGATGGTGAAAGGGTTGTAGAGTATCTAGATGCTCTACAACATCCATTGGCAAGTCAAATTCTCAACAATTTGTCCACGTCATAACTTTTAGTAACAATATTTATATAAAGATCTTTCTGTAAAAGAAGAATATGTCATCAACATCCCTACATCAACTGTCAGGGTTTACGCACATATTAACAAGGATCTTCTGTTCGAGAGTACGAAACTCAAACTATTTAATAAATACAGACTAAGCCACGATGATTCCTTAAATAAATAGATAAATAAATAAATAAATAAATAAATAAATAAATAAATAAATAAATAAATAAATAAATACATAAATACATAAATAAATAAATAAATAAATAAATAAATACATACATACATACATACATATATATACACATACATACATACATACATACATACATACATACATACATACATATATATACACATACATACATACATACATACATACATACATACACACAGATCTCAGAAGTGAACACACAAATGCTTGATGAATCCTGGCTCAGATTTTAAAGAAGTGATGGGACAAGGGGACTGCTAAAGTGCGAAGTGCTTCTTTACACCCCCACCACACGCAGCAGTGTGAATAAAGAAGTGAAATTCTTCTTTTTTTAACATTCATAACTTTCTTTTACCATCATATTCACCCTATTTCACTGGGAGGGGGAATGTCTTCCCACCCCCCATGAAAGGGAAAACCAGCCATGTATGTATGAGTGAATATTTGGAACCCCAAAAAAGAGCCAAAAAAATCTAACCTTTTATAGGCTTATACTGAAAAATTTAATCCAACAAAAAGTGTGTGGTCCCAAGTGATGCCTTAGAAGTAGTCTCCACTGTAACAACCATAAAGATAGGTTTACCTGGGCAGTGTAACTTGCAAGCAATGAAACATAATTCAGTACTAACAATCACAAAATATAGCAGCCATAACTAACCACAATAGCACGACAGATGTAATGACACTCCATTTTCCGAGTGAGGCTCCAAGTGGTTTCCCAGACGACTTTCACAGGCTACCAGGATTAGAATGAGCTTCTGGCTCCCTCGCAGATGAAGGGAGCCCGACTGTTACTGGCCTTTATCAGTGCTATTTGCTCAGGGGAAAGAATTGAGGGGGGCTAGCACAGGAAGACGAATCTAATCTAATTATGCATGCTAAATGCCACACAACACAATAACAGTTTGAAGAACTTGATGCAGTCACTCTCAAGCAAAACTAAATGAGGCAACAGTTGATGCATGCACATGGTAAAAATTAAAAGAAATTGCATTATGTAAAGTAACAATTAAGTCAATGTTACAGTATCAAAGTTTCAGCCCAGCCCAAGAGACCAGTCACACCAGCGCTGGTAGTCGGGCACAGTATATTATATTATTAATATACCAATACCCACATTACTTTGTAATTTTTTAAACAAAGTAATATATTATAATCCAGATGCAGGCAATGAGTCACAATAACATGGCTAAAGTATGTTGACCATACATACATATTATAATCCAGTGTCAGACTAATCAATAGCCTTGGGACTTTTAATCGTGTTGGGATGACGCTGGATTACAAAAGACTTGCAGTATTTTAAAACACCTTCACAGACATCCTATTTCAAACTCGGCAACATTTTTACACTATAAAATCACTAGAGTTGAATAATAACGATAAAGAACTGTCCATGGCGTGTGTGTTCAAAGGTTGCCCAGTCTACACACACAGTTATTTTATATCACCTGGGATTGACAATTTCTTTGATGTGACTGCTACATATATATTAAATCTATAGTGTCTTTTAGATATTTTCCATTTTCTCAAGAGAAACTATTATACTTGAAATAAAAAACAAATTAATTTTATGCCACACTTTGCATGATAGATTTTGGTTTTTGCCAGGAGTAGCCGACGACCAGCGCTCACGACTTTGTCCCTTGCAATGAATTGGTATCATTAATTTATTTAACAGATAGAACTAAGAAAGGGTAACAAAAGTCTTTAGAATGTGATTAAATAATCATTTTTAACCCTTACATGGCTCTAATCACTATCCACAATTACCTTTCGTGCGTAAATTAACAAAACGACATTTTTTATGCATTACTTTTGTGAATTACTTTTTCCACGCACAACATGATGTAAGACTTTGAATTAGCCAAGCCATTTAAGGGTTAAACCAGTTATTTCTAATGGAAGAGCCAAGATACATAAAATATATAAAAGTACAATGTACCTTTTTGATTCAGATCTTGACACTGCTGCCAATGTGAAATAAAAATGCAATGAAAGCTTACCTTCTTTGATTATCTTATTATCTGAGAACTCTGGTAGAGGTTTTGGACGGTGGGGTAAGAGAAGACCAGTCTCCAAGTCAAACCCTATATTCTCTACATTTCTCCTCAGTTGACGAATTATAGCACCACCCTGAAAGAATAACTAAAAATTTGAAGACCAAGTTGAAACTTGCAATCACTGAAAAGCGTTAGGAAATGTCTATATGTTGTGTTTTCTATGCAAATGTTCACCATCAGTGACTGCATGTACTAGAAGAGTATACCTATGTCTACTATGTAAAAATCTTCATCCAACAAGGAACATACAGTTTCACATATCAAATTTCTTATTAACCTCACTGACCCAGATGCTAATAATAAACTTTATTCATTCATGCAATTCCATTCTTTGCAAATCTTAGCAATCTCTATTCATCCTGATCTACATAAATTGTCTACCATATACGAGAAAATTTAATTCATTTAGGTCTATTTGCAGAGTATATTAAGCTGACAAAGAAAATGAAAACAAGCAAGGACTGCAAAATACTGCAGGAGTGATCAAAAGGGCATTAGAGATTCAACCCGAGTAAATGCAAAAGTCTGAGAATGGAGTTGGAAAAACGAGGACCAGAAGAAAAATACCAATTGAGAAGAATGCAACTAGAGACGTCAGCAAGGGGAAAAAATACCTCGAGTAGACATCACACTGCATCTCACACCAGAAGCGCACACAACAAAATAATGTCAGCACGATACACAAAGTTAGGAGACATAAAAACGTCCATCCAAAGCCTAGGAGTATGTACCACTGGCACGGAACTTGCACCTAGTGAAACACACATTTGAGAAGTTCCACAGAAAATAGAGCAGCGAGTTCGAAAAAGGTGGGGAACCACTGCTAAACGGTATTAATCTGTTTATTAATATCACCCACTCAATGCCCAAATTACTAAGCATGCCAATACTATCTAACAACACTTTTTGCATGTCATTTTACTTATTATTCCTGTATGAATGTCCATCTCTCTCTCTCTCTCTCTCTCTCTTAAAACTTTGAAAACTCACCTGCATATTGGATTCATTCTCTGTTTTTCTTTTTCATCAATAATGACATTTCTGCCTCAATTTTGTCATCAGAGCTTCTCAAATTCTTTTAATTTCACACATTTCAACTTCTTGTAACTCAACCCTATTTAATACTGTAATTACATTTTTAAACCATATCACTTTAGTAAATTGTTTATTTTTTTTTATTTTCTATTTTCAATTTATTTAGAAATGAGAGGACTTTCCTCTGCTATATTGTCAAGTTGAATAAATCTTCAGCATTATAAAATAAAACTTACCTTAATTTAAACAAATACTCTTACAAAGACAAGCATTCAGTGGACAATGTTTAGTTCAAGTATGAGCTTCGTTCAATCTAAATGAAGAACACACAACTTGAGCTGATATACCAGACCATTCTCATTGACACCACAAATAATGCAATAGTTTTGCCTGACCAGAAACGTTCAAACGTATACAACCCACCTAACCTATCGAGGTCAATGCTCAGAAAACGTCAACATTATAATGCCTCACTGTATACTAGGATACCACAGATTGTGGCGGTTCGGTCAATTGCATTAAAAATGTAGTGTATTAAGTGAGAGCACAGGTTGGATATACAGTACAGTGGAGGTTGGAAGTACATATGCTCAGGTTATATACAATTCTGTTAAGAGTTGACAAAGCTCCCACTTTAACAAAACAATATCTGCAGGCGATGAGTCACAATAACGTGGCTGAAGTATGTTGACCAGACCACACACTAGAAGTTGAAGGGACGACGACGTTTCGGTCCGTCCAGGACCATTCTCAAGTCGATTGTGAGAGAACAGACTCACAATCGACTTGAGAATGGTCCAGGACAGACCGAAACGTCGTCATCCCTTCAACTTCTAGTGTGTGGTCTGGTCAACAAAACCATATCTATTAGCGATTAATTGCTTTGGAATCTACTTCACCCAATTTCTTCAGTAGTTTACCTATCATATCAAGTCCTCTTAACAAAAGACGAGCAAATATTCATCAAACAGCTTCAACATTTCTTCACAAATTTTCAGTTAATTTGTGAAGAAATGAATGTGTTTTGTTCCCCCATTTCCATGCAGTTTGCCAGTCTCATCAAGGTCTCCTTTATAAGGCCCTCTTCAAGCCATAATGAACACCATTCAATATCATTAACTATACCAATGTAACATCATTTATATCACAGTGAAATTAATGATCCAACCGATACTCCAAAAATTATAGTACCGTATAAATTGCCATCCACACTTCCGTGGAAATAAACATTCCATTCAGAGCTAAAACAGTCGACAGAGCTACAGCCTTGCACGCATGGGGTCCATGGTTCGAGACCCATACAGCCCAGGTGACTTGAGTATAGTACAGTACTGTACTTGAAGCACATTGGAGGAACGTACAAAAATGAACCGTTGTGCCCAAGAGTTCATGCTCTTTTTTGTTTTTATTACTAGAATAATGCAAATGGTATAACTATTCTGCCCTAAACCTAAGTAAGCTATCCTAGGCATAATATACTGTACTTCATCTTAAGCCTAATTTAGTACATTGTTATACTGTTCTAGGCCTAAGAAACCTAAGGTTAATTGCTCCTTTCTTTCTCTAGCCCTCTACAAAATTAATACTACGAAATGTGAAATTTTTTGGGTGCAAATGTTCATTTTTGTACATTTGACAAATAATTGCTTAAAGTACGGTACTTTACAATAATTATTAGATGACAGGCCAAATGATCAGCTTTACTAACAAATCCTTATTTAGTGATTAATCACAACATTGATCTTTATGACTAAAATTTGCTTTCTCAGGACAACTATACAATTTTTCAAAGCATGTTCACAAGCATAAACAAAACTTACTTGATCCCGTAGCTTAACGGCAGTTCGGTAAAATATAGTTTCCTTGGCATTATAAATAAGGCAATTGTCGATCATCAGCTCAAAATCACTGGCAAATTGGTCGACATCTCTGTACTGGTGAGTCTGCGCTTTTTGTCTCATTGTGGACAAATCCATCGGATGCTTCACCACATCTAAGTAGTCATGTACCTGAGATATACAAAAGGTAAAGTAATTTGAAAATACTTTAAAACAAAAACAAAAAAACCTAGCTAAAGGCTCTTTCTTTCGATCTTAAATCTTCAGTTCATTGTCGAGTTGAGCTACCTAGTCTGCTTCTCCCAAAAAACTAATTTCTTCAATGGTGCCACTAATACATACATACACACACACACACATTCTCTCTCATTTTCTCTCTCTCTCTCTCTCTCATTTTCTCTCTCTCTCTCTCTCTCTCATTTTCTCTCTCTCTCTCTCTCTCTCATTTTCTCTCTCTCTCTCATTTTCTCTCTCTCTCTCATTTTCTCTCTCTCATTTTCTCTCTCTCTCTCATTTTCTCTCTCTCTCTCTCTCTACTTAATGCATGAAGAGGAGAATACGAATGATTGTATAATTGCCAATTAAAAAATCAGGTTAATTTATCTTAAGAAATGGAAACACTGACCTGTTGCCAGTAGGCCAGTAGGTCTTCTGAAATTTCATCTACTCTGACGTTCTTATAAAATGACAATTAGAAACACAGCTCTTTCACTCTATAAATACACAGATATGTTCTAATAAAGAACACATATATATATTGCTAATACAGGTACTGTATAATCGAACCAAAAACTAACCTCCACTAAATCAACCGGCTCGGCAAAAATCATTTGCTGGTCTTTCTCTTGAATCAGATCTATCGTCTGCAATAGCAAGTGTACAAATGGTGCAAGCTGAACTTTCTTCTCCTCAGCTTTCCTAAAGAAAAATAATATTTTAAGGAAGCCTTAAATTTATTCCCCATGAAGCAGGGAATTCATTATAATTTATGTCTGCATTTTTTCATAATTATTTGGCAAGTAATCCAAGTACAGTAATCAATTCTACAATAATACTTACGCTTTGACTAATTCTCTTTTAGTCTTCTCTCTTTTTCTTATTAGTTCACAAAGCAACCGAGCTCTTTCCAAATCTTGCCGCAATCTTTGCCAATACTTTATTTCCTCTCGCAGTCCCTCAGCTTCCTGTATGCACATGAGGCATTACTCATATAATCATCAGGAAAAACACTTTTCTGCACACAGCTCACTAAATATTTTGCACAAACATTATAATAGCATCAGGTTAACAACTTTTCATCTCTTGGACTTTCCATTAGTGATTTATTCAACTGTTGATTGGCAATAATATTTTACCTTGTGTGTAATTATCAATTATCTGCCAGAGAAAAATTAAAAGCCAACATAGATCTGTAATATTTAGATCCTAAAATTTACATGATATATGTTGAAGCACTGAAGCAATTCAATCATGGTGTAATTTGAAAATTTTTAATAAAACTGTCTATTTCATGGACGAACAAAACTGTAGACAAAATTCTAGACTATACTTAGAGCAAATATGGCGGAACCTCCATATTTAGTTTTATAAGTACTATAATGTCAACAGATATAAATGTACCAATGCCTCTGATGTATGAAGATGTAATTTAGTGTTATAGCTGGAAGTAGCAACCATATCATCATTACATCAGAAGGTATTGTGTCCATTGGTAATTTTGTGTCCATCTTAAAGAGATTTCAAATCTTACTTTCATCGTTTAGGATAATCAGAAAGGAGAGAGAGATACAATTTCTTGACCATGTGGATTGCAATTCTCAATAAAGTCAGTGGCTTGCCTTCAGAAACATACGAACAGTATTCAAAATGATCACACAAAATGTTTTATTCAATCACTGCTACTTTTTTATACTGAATTTTGCTATATGAGCCATGTAGATAAAGATTATATAATATGCCTTGTTGTTTGTTAAATTTAAATTCTTACAAACACCAGTAGATAAGTCTGAACATAAAGTGCATGTGGTAAAACCAAGATATCAGCAGCAGTTTTGAGCCGGGATAGCCCCCAGAATCTTTTGATGTAGAATGCTGAGGTGGTGTGCAAGTATATGGTATGATTAGTTTATATTAGTTATACTGCAAATTGTCTCATCCTGATTTTGTGATATACTGCGTCTTTACAATACTGTATACAGTATAATCTAATTCGTAGCTAAATGTCACTCATTTGTACCTAAAATGTCACTTCAGATGTAGACTGTTATACATCTGTTTAGTTCAGCCAATATTGAAATCATTTGTGTAAGTTGCTACCAATTAAGTTTCTGATTCTGATGATAATAACGTTTACGTGCTATGCTGTCACTGTGACTTGTGCAATTAATGTACGTACTGTACTTTTTATACAAACTTTCCCAGTTGTAAATGTACTACCATTTATGAATAAAGTTTTTGATAGATTGATTGATAGTTATTCTTTGTACCCAAGAAAAATGTGTACAAAGCTAAACAAAACTGCACTAAACCCTTTCCCTCCGACGATTATACAGAATGTAACTTCCCGTCTCAAAAATACACCTTCCAAACTTACACTGGTGACTTTTTCTTTATCTTTCAAACACGGCGATTTGTCTTCTATTGGCCGGTTGTTGCGGCGCGAATGTGACGTGGTGAGGCGCCGCAAGAGGGGCACTCCATTTCGTGACTGCCGCTTCAGAGTCCAATACGCTAAGAGGCGGTGCATGAACTGAGACCGCTTCTGCATGTTAACGAGGGCTGCCAATTTCTGAATACTGACAGAATAATTACAAGGTTGTCTAAGAATTTTAAGATCATAGGGCAAGAAAATATTTTATTAATACTGTACCTGTACCTCAAAATAGTTAACATGATTTTTATTCTAGTAAAACAGGGAAAAGATACCACTTAAAGGATCTTCAATTCAGCAATGAAGTTGTCAGAATATTTAAGATTGATATGAAACAGAACCCTTTCTATTTCTCAAGCACTATACTCTACAACTATATGTTGATTGCATAATTTAGTCTCATTGTTTGCACATTATATCCTGCACTCAAGAGCAGGGTTGTATACATTTTATACATTTTTCCCTATACGTTATACACATCTGCCAATGTGCCTTCAAACGTTAAAATGTTGAAGACCATTAGTAATTCCAACACTGGGCAAAGATCCTACATCAGATTTGGTTAAAATGTAGGCCTAAGTGAAAAAGCTGCCAAATATTTACATTATAAACAAATGTATTAGGCTTTAACATATAAAAAGTACTTTTCAAAGCAGTACACTTGGTTCTTCTCAAAGGCAAGAGCCTACTGAGCCCTGGTTAAGATTTCACATAGTCAGGGCATGTCAATAATGAGCACCAGCACAGTGGGGAACTTTTCAGTCCTCATCATGTCATACTGGCTCTAGACACCTTAATACTCAATCCAGCCCAGAATGTAGTCTTATATATATCGCATTAATATAAAATATAGTTCAGAAGAATAGTTACCAATTCACCCCAGAAAAAAAAAAGGATTGCTCACTAGCCATAAAGGGAAGACCTGATACTGCAGTCAAGAAGCAGATATAGACCCAACAAGCTCAAACCAAATAGGATTCAGAACCGATAACGCATCTATCAAACAATCCTCATATCCCACTTTGTCTGCATCACAGCAAGGTGAGACTTAAGAGAACTTGTGGAGAAAGACACCATCCCCAAGTAGGGGGACAACAACTGCACCGTATACATGGCAAGAAGATACATCGTATTCAAGCCGAGCCGAATAATACCACCAGCAACATTGAGAAATGTTGTCTCATCTGGCCTGAGATCCAGAAGACAATGAAAGTCAAAAGAAAATTAGGACAGAACTTCTATTACAGTCTTAGGGCCAATAACTAATTCCAGGCCAGTTCTGGAACACTGGCATCACAAACAGGGAGCCCCAATCTTTACTTAACGAGGGAGACCACTTTTTCACACCATCTAGTAGAAGAAAAATGCTCTAACATATAAACTGAGACTATTAGACAACACCCCCATGAGGTACCAAACTCCCAGCCACTGATCCTGCTCTAGCAATTACTAATACAAAACAGTTTCCTAAGATGTGTGGAGACAAGCATACAATGACCCCAGGGAAAGGGAATAAGTAGGGTCTGAATGATCCAGGTTCAGACCCACAAGTCATGCCATGAATACCTAATGGGTCATATCCTCCTCTAAATAGGCTAAATGGATAAGATCCTACAATATTCACCGACAGCAGAGACGTTCACTGTCGATACTGCAGTCCACAAGCTTTAAGCTTGGACTTAGCCACAGAAGCTTTATGCTGGGAGAGAGAGGTTTGAACAAGCTCACTGCCACCCAGATAAAAGGTTACATACACCCAAGAGTGAAGAGAACCGTGACCCCAAAAGCGAGAATGTAGAGGCAGAAAGGACAACTTCCAGAGTTAAAACCTCCCACTGAAAATCCTTTAAACTGCACCAAGTAGTGTCAGACCTTTCTTCAATGTGTCGCCTCATCACAAACAAATGTGAGAAACTAAGAGACTGCCACAGTGAATGCTAGATCACTAGGACCTTCTCCTGCAACAAGACAGAAGCTCAAGGCTAACTAATGGAACCATATGTCTAAACAAAAACAACAATAAACAGCAACGATGACTTTGACAAACGTTACCGAGGGGTAAACAACAAACCGTGTCCCAGCATATAGGCGAAGCAATTATTTGTGCCGCATGCACACCACAAACACATTGCTCAGGCCATTCTCTACTGGTGCACTACCAAACAAGAACTGAAAGAACTGGGTAGCTATTTCATATTAATAAGAATATCATGGTGCAAACACCTATATTCCAGAACAATACTATTGCTGACAGCACAAACTCACAAGTCACAGTGAATATAACTCTTGGTAACTAGTCAATATTGTACAAGTCCCCCTTCCCCCCAACACACACACACACACACACGAAGAATTTACTTGTGTAGTATAAGCTCACCACACGAACGGAAGTTTTGGCTATGTTATCCTAAATATAACAGAAAATATCTAAGGATAACATAAGCCAATTGACGGAATAGTTATGGTTCCTACCTGCTCACACATCATGGTGCAAGGATCAGTTGAGTAAGAATGTGATACAGCTTTGATCAAGGAATTTTGTCGCTTTGTTGGTGCTGCCACCTAGTGGCAGTTGTGGCTAGTGACCTAGGGGGCCATTCTGTAATTAACATGCATAAAAAATGATGCTCCTTGGAGTGCCAAGTAGTTCCTGGAAAGGCTTTGAAGCTGATATAAATGCACTTTCTGGCTGCATTATGGGTTGGATTAAATACTGTATTCTCCACTGTTTGCCTAGCACCAGTATGACCAAGCACTGGTGCAGAATGTCAACTTACCCTGACTAAGCAGCAAGGGTCAGTTGAACCTTATCTTGGGAATCAACCATGAGTAACAGCTCAAAAATACTGATGAAAGCAATTAAGGTATACAACAGAAATTAAACCAAAATATTCATTATCTGGAAGTACTGTACAGGTACTGCATAAAACTCCTTTAATCTTATGTAAACAAACAAAAACTTATTAGTAGTCAAACTACACCAGTGGAAACAATTTTGAGTTCAGACAATCAAACTACATCACTGTTAATAGTATTTTACTGTATTAGTACATGCTATTCGCATGCTTCTGCAAGGTTACATTCATCACATATCACAAAAATTAACTACAAATTACCACCATAAATTCAACTTGGAATCCTTGTTAAACCGTATTCTATCTATAGAAACCTCTTAACTGCCCTCACTAATAGTATACTATAAAGATTTGTTGCAGTAACTGCATACATCTGTTATTAACTGCCAATACTATACAAATAATAGAACTTTGTCAAATTAATACCAGCACTAAAAACTAAGAATTATTAATGTTGCCAGAGAAGAAACACTTAAGAGCATATTAAATAATTCACTGACAATACAACCATCACCCATTTCTAATAGGAAAAATTCAGGAATCATTTCTTCTTATCATTTCTACATTACAAAACAAATCAATCCCTGTGAGACTTGTAGTGGTTTTAAGTGATTAAAAAAATGATTGTAGTCCACCTGTTACTTGTTTCAGAGTACTATACAGTAATTACTAAAGGAACCACAAGGAGGAATACTTATTAGTTACCAATGGGGCTTACTAAGAGTAATATAAATACACCTGCATGTACAGTACCGTACATCGGTAAAAGGAGCACATACTCGGCAGGTGTGCGATCTCCAGCCCATCAGTTTCCACCTATTCCTTCACTAATTGCCAAAGATCAAATAAGGCTCAAAATGCCAGCTGACCATTTCTACAAACTGGAACAACTCGGATAAACTGGATGCCTCAGGTCTCGGGCATGATAAAGGAAATATACACAGTACTAGATTGTATGTATAAACAAGAAATGTAATGAGAAAATTAAAGATAACCAAGTCTTCAGTCTTAATATTTCAGGAACACTATTATACAGATATGAAGAGGTTTCTAACACACTTGTTTTAGCCAAGTAAAATGATCATGAGATTAAGTGCTGTAATGTATTGAGAAAACTTGTAAACTTACAACCGATTGATCAAATATAAAAAAACAAAAGCAACAAATCCAAAATTAAAGTTTACTCTTTTTGCCAGTGTTAAAAATTGCTTCTTTAATTTAACTGGCTGTATATGGCAGTTAGAATTACGCTTAAAGCTTAATAATAAATATCCAAGCTATCACCCATTAAGAAAAAATTCTGTCACTAAATTTTACATTCAATCTTATATGATGTACAATAATCACTATTAGAATATTCCTTGATTTTACTACTCTAGTGTGATCTTTGAAAGGGTCTCTCAATATTTAAAATGGTATGAAATAATAGTATGTTCCCCAAATTTTGATTGGTACACGAGAAAATTTTGCATCAAAGATTTGGCGATTTTGACACGCACTTAAAAAAAAAAAAAAAAAAAAGACGCCCACCCCCTGATACAGGAAATCCCCCACCCCCCACCCAACAACAATTTGATTAACTTAAAAGGAGACCCAATTGTCAGCTTTTCTTATTGCTAGGATTCATCAAACAATTATGCATCCAATTACAAAACCTGCATAACTTTCAGCCATCATAACCCGCTTTGTTTACATCTGCTAAACAGCTTACGAGCTTCAAGATTTAACGACCCAAGGTTATTGTTATAAACAATAGAGCTTGAGAGATGCATACACTGTTTATTAAATGTAAACAAAGCTGCTATGATTGATGAAAGATGTACAGGTTACAAGTATGGATGTGCAAATGCTTGATGAATCCTAGCCCAGAATGTCACCCTATTCTGACAATATTCCACGATCAACAAAATCTCATGTCCCATAAATCAATGATTCTATTTACTGTTTATTAAGCTTTCTGGACCACCTTTTCAGCCTCAAGTACTTCAGCACATACTTATTCCTGCAGCACAGTAGTCTACATTCTCAGCTGTCAACTGAGACACCTGGGTTCCAATACCCAGACAGGATAGAAACGGTTTTGCACATTTCCTTTCACCCAATGCCTTTGTTCACCTAGCAGTAAAATAGGAACCTGGGAATTGGGTACGAATTGTGGGTTGCATCTGGGAATGGTCAACAGCTGGCCTATGGAGAAGGGAGTTGGAGACCTTGATAAGCCAAAGTACAGGCTTCTTGTCCCCAGTAACAGGAATTATTGATAAAAGGAACACAGTTGCTTATCTTTCGTATCTAACTTTCTTTCATTAACTTTACGATTGTTTCCAAATATTAACTTAGTCGCCAAAAACATTGTATGTGTTAATTTCAGTTTTAGTAATGAGCATAAGCACATTTATGGAATTAATCAAAATATTTTCAACAAATTCACCTGGTTGAAGATCATCAGGCTGTGGAAACATTGATCCTCAAAACAAACGCAAGTTAAGCACATGGTCTACTGAACAATATGAAGGCACCGAGCTTTGGCAGCTCAAACTCCCAAAGTCTTCGCACAAAGGAGTTACTCCATACAATAACCTTTTAAGTGTTAAATTCCCTAAATAATTTATGCACCCAAAATAATCTACCTAATTTATCCGAAAACAAATCGGTTGCAAATTCTTCAGGTCAGTGTGGCACAGGACAAATAATTATAGTACACATCGCATCCCCATCCGCATAAGAGACAAAAATTGTTATAGAAGACATCCATCCAGTATCAACAATGCATTACAAGATTAAACTATTCAGTTTCTTTGATTAAAAATTTATATAAACACACCTAGCAGTGAGACATATTAGCAGAGGGCATGAATTATGTGGGCGGGGGGAGATGGGAGCAAAAACCAAAGACAAAACCCAGAACCTGTAGAGAATGGCAAGCAGCATAACATTTCAAGGGGCAAAAACCAGTGAACATTATACAAATTGTTGGTAATGATAATGCGTGCCACAGAGTATATGAAAATTAGTTACAGTATATGAAAATATTCAACAAGCTTGCGTATTTACAAACACGTACGCGTGCACACGCGTAGCGAGCCTGCAGGAATTAATTTTTATTGGAAAGAGAGAGAGAGAGAAGGGCATGCAATTACTCAATCTACATTAACTAACTTTCAGGTAGAGATGTGTTTTTAAAACAATACAGACAATCTACTTCTCAGGGAAACTTGAGCATTATTTTCATATTAGGAACATTTAACTTACATTACTTTAGTAGCTCTATGCATGCACGACAAATACTGTGAAACATGTAGGTAATCACTGAACACATATATAAATACATGCAAGCTAAATTAAAACTCATAATTAAATAAAAAATTACCAAAAATTATTAAATAAATTTTAGAATAACTAAAGTGCAAAATTAAATAAATAACCAAATTTGAATAATAATTCTGTAGAATAAAAATGTTTAAATGTGGCAACGTGAAAGAATTAATGAGCATGAAGTCATACTAGATGGCGGCAAAACTAGAATATATTTGAAGCCAACTTCATTCAAATCACAATACGATATCTCCAAGTGTCAAACTCTGTAACATTTACTCTAGAAGTAATCGTACCATTCATAAATAATTCCATCGGAATTTCATGAAAGCAGACTTTTTTTCAAAATGTGAGTAACCAAATGAATCACAGTACTCTATGTCATTACCCAGGAATACGTGTATATATATATGTCCATTCTCACGTCTACGAGAAGTTTCCTTCCACTGGGGAGTAGGTTACCACTCACTTACTTTTCACAGGGTATGACGGGCACAGAGTTGACAACTCCAGAATAGTAGGGGAGGATTGGACTATGAGACGCAACACGGAACAGAAGGGGGGTGCGGCAGGAACAAAACAAGAGGTTAATGCTAAATGATGCTGCCTTAAGACACACATATACACACATACACGCATGTATGGCCCCCACGTTTGGTTTTACTGATTTAACAGAAAAGGGGGGAGCATTTTAATTCATTTTAAGGAAAACATGGATCTTTGCAATGAGTCAGCAAAAAGGAAAACATAAAAATAACATAGAAAAAGGGAACCTTAAATCAAATTTGCAAGAAAACGGGCATCTTTACAAAGGGTCAGCACAAAGGAATACCAATCTGAAAATGCACAAAGAACAGAGTGTAGCAAAGCCGCACCTCATGCATGTGATTGGGTTAAAACACATACATGCTTAGTGAACAGGCTGTGCAAGCAAAATGGGAAAATGCTAAGTGCTTTGATGGCTTATTCATCTGCTCATGGTTTCTATTCCATCCTTGATGAAGGGCAAGATCTTGGCCAGGTGTATACCTAACTCCTCATAACTGTTCATAATCTTCTCATGATAACCAATTGGCAAGGCATGCATTTTTTTATTTTGATTTGATTTTATTATTTTGCATTGCATTTTATTATTTTCTTCGTGACCTGCAGCTGAACCTTGGAATTCTTTATCAGGTAAATTATTAATGACTCAATTTACATCTAGTCTTGTAAAGTGATTTAACAGCTAAAAATGTGCAGTTCATTAAACACTTAACTTTAAACTTATGAGAAACATGTCTATACAAGTTTTGGGCCTGAAAATAAGAACATGTCCTATAGAGACAAATGCCAATCCTTCTATTATAAAGAATTCAGCTGTTAATATTATATTACGTAACCCTTGGGCTACTAACATCACTCATAAAAAAAAAAAAAAAAAAAAAAAATGATAGCTAGACTTTTGCTAACAATGCTCTTTTAACACATCTTGTATGTGATTTATCTTGTACTATAGTTTTCCCATTAATAAAATTTAATTCTAGTTATGACTTCAGAAAAACCAGCAAAATAGATAGATAAACCAAAAATAGATTAAAACCAGCAGTTTAAGCATTAAGAGTCACCACCAAACAATTGACCACAATCGGTCAAGTGTTCCATGGATCAGCTAGGTCTCACAATCTAGTTAGTTATGAGGAGTTCATGATGGTTTTTAGTTAAATAAATAAATGAAGCACATTAGTATTTGCTATATCAATCTATTTACCTAGGCTACCTATATCTAATTAGCCATTTCCAATAAATAAAGCAAGGCAAATCAAAACAATCATAATATACATATGTACATAATTTACAACAAAATATGCATAACACTTTATGTTTAATTTCATTGATCAGGTTCTGGAGTTTATTAACAAATTCATTATTGAAATATTAAGTCTCTAAACCTATCTAAAGTTGCAATTTGGTGGTAATTGTGGTTGTGGTAGTGGTTAGGTTTGTATTGCTTGTGGTGGTGGCAGTTGTGGTGGTTGAAGCCACAGGGGGTGGCAGTTGTGGTGGTTGAAGCCATTGGTGGTGGTAGTTGTAGTTAATGTAGTGTTGTAGTTGTGGCTGTGATTGTGATGGAGATTGTGATGGTGGAGTAGTGGTGTTTGTGGTGGTAATGAGCAAGGGGGGATTGGAGGAGAGGGAGATATTAGTGTAGTTCCCCTACACTAACTAACTGATGGAAGATAGAACAACTAGACCACACTATTATTTTGTTAAAAGTTACCCCAATTCGACACGAAAACCAAAATTTAAGAAATTCTGTGTCTGCGTTTGAGATATCAAACTAATCCGAGGCTGGCATCCCTTTCATTCGTTACAATTTTGAAGAATTTTTAATTGCGTAAAGAAATCACTAGAACCACTGTATCCGAGAAAATATCGAGACCATACAATGGGACCGAACCCGCATTTCTCGAGTCCCCAGGCACACATACTGGTTGCAATACTTTTGAGCTCATCACATTCAGTCGGAAGTGCATGGCGAGTTAAGAGTCCAGGGGTGCAGATTCGATACCATTGTATGTCTCATATTTTCTCAAGAATTTACAACAAAATTTATTTGGAATATGATTAATACACATTTACATATAGAACTGTACTACAATACATATATATTCCAAATTTGGAATATATATGTATTGTGCAAGGGCGTGCTCCAGGATTCCATGGAATCCTGGAGCATGCCCTTGCAGCATGTACATAGAAATTTGAGTGCTATATATGCATATTCTGATTCCAATATCACTCAAGGGATCTAAATCACAACCCGAAACCCTCCCACTCCTGATAATGTACCGTTTCATAATGATATTCAAATTTGACCTCCAGGGAAATACGTGGCCAAAAAGGGACCTACTTTGTACCACCATATATAAGTACTGAAAGTTTTAAATCGACATGTGAATGCTTTCCCCTATTATTATTTGGGCACTAAATATTTTGGAGAGAAAAAAAAAAGTCATATGATACCCCTATCAAGATTACTAATAAAACATGAATTAAGAGATGTTAAGAGCGCTACTTTGAGAATTGTCACTAGACTAAATTCAACAACATAAAAAAACCATCTTAATATGAATGAAGACAAGCTAACTTAATAATTGTTACAAGAGAACAATATGTAAATGCCTGACCTTAAGTTTGACTGCATTTAAATAAACACACTTGCTTGATGGGGTTCTAAGAGTTCTTCTACTCCCCAAGCCCGGCCCGAGGCCCGGCTTGATTTGTAAGAGCTTTGTATTGGAGCGGCCCGCAGGCCCACATATTCACCACAGCCTGGTTGGTCCTGCACTTCTTGAAGAAAACTATATAGTTTTCTCTTGAAGATGTCCAAGGTTGTTCCCGCAATATTTCTTATACTGTACCGTACTCGCTGGGAGGATGTTGAACAACCATCAACCTCTGATGTTTATACAGTGTTTTCTGATTATGCCCATGGCACTCCTGCTCTTCACTGGTTCTATTCTGCATTTTCTTCCATGTCGTTCACTCCAGTATGTTGTTATTTTACTGTGTAGATTTGGGACCTGGCCCTTAAATATTTTCCACATGTACATTATTTTATATCTCTTTTGTCTCCTTTCTACTGAGTACATTTGGAGAGCTTTGAGACAATCCCAATAATTTAGGTGCTTTATCACATCTATGTATGTAGTATTTGTTCTCTGTACTCCCTCTATTTCAGCAATCTCTCCTGCTCTGAATTGGGAAATGAGTACTGAGCAGTATTCAAGACAGGACAATACAAGTGACTTGACTAGTGCAACCATTGTGATGGGATTCCTGCATTTGAATATTCTCGTAATCCATCCTATCATTTTTCTGGCTGACGCAATATTTGCTTGGTTATGCTCCCTAAATGTTAGGTCGTCAGACGTCATTATCCCCAAATCCTTTACCGTGCTGCTTTCCTACTATGGGCAATTTGATTGTGCTTTGTACCCTGTATTATGTTTAAGGTCCTCATTTTTAATGTACCTGAGTACCTGGAATTGTTCATTGTTAAACATGTTATTTTCTGCTGCCCAGTCGAAAACTTTATTATGGATATAGGCTTAAGTATTATGTACATGAACATCATATGTACATGTACATATTATGTACGGGTTTTATTAAACGCACCAATGTTCTGTGTAATCTATCAACAATCATTTATTGCCATCCAGGTGGAATAGTGGATTGCACAAATCTTTGAGGAAAACGAGAAAAATATTGGACTCAAACTTCATAACTGAAGAAGATTTAAGCAGGTGGAATTCTCATACAATTTAAAAATGTATCTTATTAGAAGAGTTGTAGCACTTACATGATTTTATAGCCTACATATATAGTACAACAATAAATAAATAATGATTATGAGACTATGTAAATAACATAAGAACACCACAGTTCTAACAGTGATAACTTAAAATTTGCATTTCAAATCCTAAAAAAACTGCTATTATCTGTTGATCAAACCTCACACTAGAAGTGAAGGGACAACAATCTTTCGGTCCGTCCTGGACAATTCTCAAGTCTGACTTGAGAATGGTCCAGGACGGACCGAAACGTCGTCGTCCCTTCACTTTCTAGTGTGTGGTCTGGTCAACATATTTCAGCCGCGTTATTGTGACTCCTCATCTGCTATTATCTGTTGACAACAAAAAACACTGCAGGTGGTATCCTTCCTACTGGAGGGACTTCACTTGACGCACCCACAAGGCAAGGGGATGGGGGGGGGGGGGGTTCAGTGTTATGCATCACATTCTCACAATGACCGTTCAACTGTTTAACTCCAAGTCTGTGATTACGTCATCTACCTTCAAACAGCTGTAAAGGAAAACTTTCACCACACAGTAACCAACTATATCTTGAAGTAGTTTTACACGAAATAGAGAACAGTATGCAATAAATAACATTAATTTACATTGTTGTAAATGTGTACAGATTGTAGTGTTTCGAAACAGTATTTCTTAGCATTTGAAACAGAATAAAAAGTGAAAATAATTCTTTTAAAAATATACAAAAGAAACAAAACCAATTTAACAAAAAATATATATCCAATAAATGGAAAATTTTAACTTACCGATCAGCTGGTATAGTTGGAACAGAAACAATTGGAGCAGCAGATCGTTTCTCTGCTAATATCTTACGGGCTTTCTTCATCTTTTGCCGCGAAGCTGCCTTTGCCGCGGCTTTCTTGGCCGAGTCCATAATCTCATCAAGCTGGGGACGCTGCAAAGTGAAAACAGACTGGCCCTTCAACCACAAAGGTTCATTACAGCAAAAGCAAAAGCAAGCACAGGACGACCGTTAGACGGAAGATGTGCCTGACTGTACATGCTAGTTCTTAATATAATTTATACAAATTATTTCTACTGGTTAATCAAAATCATCTATATAAGTACTCATAACCAAGATATAAATTAGAAGATGATCCATCTAGAATTAAATGCCAATCAACGGGTGATTCTCTTTAAATTTAACAGATGGTGGGGCAGTAATAAGTACTGTGCTAATATTACAAATTGCTCATGAAAATTTTACCGTAAATTTGTTTCAGTTTTTATATAGAACTTCTTTACTAACATATCCAGTCTTGCACTTGGATTTTAATAGCAGCAAATCTAGGGCAGCAGGCAAGCTGTGAGGGCCCAGCTAGCAGACCATGGTGCCGTGCTCATAACTTCATTAACAACTGCACCAAACAATATGTATAACTGATGTAGGGAAGCCTCGGATATGATGGGGGTAGATTATAAGATGTAAAAATATATAAATGCAGTGTTAGTGCTGTGTAAATGATCGTGTGTGGACCAAAAAAATGATTTTACCATCAATTTATTAAGAGATTAATACATTCACAATAAATGTAAAAAACGAAAAAGAAGTCGGCACAGATGAGTGCAGTATATTTCTCTCGTTCATCTTTCTTTGTTGATTAATAGACGTATGGCAAGTGAACCAAGGCACTTATATAGACGTATGGCAAGTGAACCAAGGCACTTACACAAGAGTCTAAGCACTACTAACTTTATACAAAAAATCTTGTGATCATCTGCAACTAACAAATCATAAATTTAAATATATAACCTAAATTAACATACAACTTTCAGAACAAGAAATTAATAATTGATATCAAAGTGTTAACCGATGATGTAGCACCATTAACCCACATAACTGCGTACGAATTTTAGATCGATTTCCTGGCAAGCATATATGAAAAACAAATTCTATTCTGTATCATAAAACACTTATTTCGGATGTCTTCAAAAAAGTTTTTTTTTAATAATTTTAGTTTGGCCACAGTGAAGTGAAAAATATTGAAAACATCAAATTCTGAAAACTAATTTTCAAATAAATATTTCAAATAGATTTTTCCTTATGACAAATATCTCCCTGGTCCATAAAATTCCTTGAAATTTTGTATAGCATCAATGGTTCCTACCATAAGCATCAGTAAATGTATGGTGATGCACCCGACATGCTGCCAATTTTGTCAGTAATGCCCAGAAAGATATTAAGGCTGTCACACTACTCTATTTTCCTAATACGGAAAATTAGAAGTTGCCAGAGGACTCTAGTGTTGAATTTGACATTCACATATAGACTCTTTAGGAATTTTTAAATTACAAGGCATATTAAATCTTCCACGGGCATCAGAAGCATCGCCGGACTATTTACTGTTGGCAACAGTAGTAGTTTAATTTAAGCGTTAAAAAGAAAGATAAATTTAATTAAGATAAAGGTTAAAAAAAAAATTTGAATGTAATGAATCACCAATTTCTGGGTGAGCTCCAGAGGCTCCCTGAAGCAGCTTCAGTGCCATACTACTAGGTGCCATCAGTCGGGGATTTATATTGGATACCTGGAACCATGATCCAGAACCTGGTGTTCATAGTGCCACCACTCCCTTCGCCGCTCTGAGGGTGCCAGGTTCTGGCTCGTGGTGCCAGGTATACCAATAGAACTAGGAATGATGACACCAAGTAGTATGGTACTGAATTGGTGATAATAGCTTCATGGAGCCCCCAGAAAAGTGTGAAGTAACTCGGTACAGAATGTAAGACATTAAATTAACATCGAGATAGATATATGGAAATGTAAGTTTAAATTATCAAATACAGATGGATGGACTGTACTAAAGTTAGATATCATAAGATATAGCAGTATCAATTGTTTTTCATTAAGGTTCCAGAAATGAGTACTGTTATATTAAGGCTATTTTTTCCCACAGTAAATTTTAAGTTTATTCAATATTCTATGGTTCGGGCACATACAGTGCTAGACAACAATTTAGAAAAACGCCATGATGATATTAGACTAATTATAGATATTTCTCTTGTAGGGTCTTCATCAAATCTATATCAACAATGATAGCAGCAATTACGGCCAAAATATTATTCATATAGCTCAAAAAAATGTGAAATAGTCTGCAGTGATAATTTCAGTGCAATTGGTGGAGGAGAATAAGTGTGAGACATGACATTCATGCAACAACCACAAGGCAGTGCTAGGGTGCCCGGCATGAGCGAGGGAGAAGTAGACTGTTTGACAAGCGTTTTGTATGAATTGCACAAGACCCAATATTAATGAAAAAGAGCGTGCGGGGCAGCCTTGAAATAGATCACCGGCTACCTCAATACCGTAATGACAGTTTTCTGTGTATCAAGTCATTATTGAAATAGAGGAAAATGATTTTCTTCCAACAAAATTTCACAGGCAATTCAACGCAAATAATTTGTTAGCCGATATATTTTATAACATCAATTGAAAATGGGAATACTGTCTAAAGAGAAACTGGCATTACCTCAACAAAAAGTAAAAGCTGTTAGTATGAATAAATTTTGGTGTGGAAGTCAACCAAAATCACATTAGAAAGCACAATGTATACAGTAACTTTGGCATAGACAAATATTCAATAAATACCATTAAGACAACTAGTGACTTACACACAAAAAAGGTTATACAAGTAAACAAAGCTTCACAAACAAATAAAAAAAAAATTGAAGATTTTATGAAAAATATTTCTCCTCTTGGAGATTTGTATTAATGTTTGCAAGCTCAAATATTACAGTAAACACCAAACCAAAGATACGATGGATAAACTATAAATCCTTTAGCTTTTCAAAGTACTGTATATAGAATGTCTGGTTTTTTTAAGAGCTATAAATTCGTGAGCTTAGGAAACATTAACACCCTAAGCATTCTATTCTACCTTCACGACACATACCGCATCAGAATCAGCAGGCGTGTGCATATCACAATATGCAGCTTTCCGCACAGTAACAGACGTCCCATTTACACTCGTCTCTCTCACAGCATCAATCTTCATGTGTAATCCAGCTTGTTGAGCACATGTCACATGGAATGCTGAAAATCCACATTAAATCATTTCTTTTATTATAATCTGTTAAAACCAATAAGGGTCTTTCACTAAATTATTTGCCAATAAAAACGGATAGCTAACATTTAAAAATGAACAAAGGCCAGATATCTTGGCTAATATTACTAGGTCCAACTTACTAAAAACAAGCATATTGGATATGGAACATTATTATTAGTATACCTGGAGTAAGTCTTGGGAGTTATTTCACTCTCCAAGCCAAGCCCCGTGGCAAGGCTTGTCTTATGATAACTAACTATAAGGCTGTTGCTTGCAGCGACCCATAGGCCTGCTTATCAATTATAACCCTAAGGCTTACTTAAGCCAAATGATATCTTCTAAAACTCCATAATACCAGTAGAACCCTGTTGGGATGTTAGAAATGTGTCCCATGGTGCCAATACCTCAAATGTCATCCTGCCTAACTGCACGATCTGCTCCCGTGTTTACAGTGGAGTCAAATCTCAGAGGGCAACAAAGCTCAGAAATTGTAACTGTTTACACATTTAATAAGTGTGTAAGTATTATGTCACACAACTCTAACACGAACGAATGACCCTTCCCAAACATATCAGTAAAAGTAAAACTCCTTTAATGAAAAACTATCAGCCTCACTTATTTTATCTATTAAATATAATACAGTAGCTCTGAGAACATGCCCAGTTTATATATATGGGTCATCAGAAAACACTTACCTGTATAGCAATTGACTTTGTTGCACTGGATACAAGCTCCAACACTACGCTGCTTACAGATGTAACACGTAAGTTTCCAGCGGGCCGGAGGAATGTTACTGATGCTGTCAATGGGCTCCAAGAAGACCTTAAGAAAAATAATACAACAATATCGAAACTTACAAATGAAATGACCTGAAGTTGTGAGACCACATTTTAAGGCCTCGGTGTAATAAAAACCTAGCCAAACGAAACTGTTGGGCCCAAGTCAAGAGCACTGCCTATTATTTCAATAGAAAAAACAAAGAAACAATGGCTTGGTTTCCCATTCCAAGCCACAGAAATTTCAGTCCATATTTATCTCAATTCCAATCCAAAATTTAAGGAAATGAAAGACAATCTTTAATTAGTCACTCACAAAACTGTTTAAGAAGACAGGATTCCTTCATTTGACAACAATAACAAATTTATGACTTTTACATATTAATGATTAACCCATAAATTTTAAAGATCAACCTAGTTCACATCACCATTTCAATGCCAAGAAAATCCCACTACTTGCTCAACTACCAATTCATTTTTAAGTAAATTAATCCTGGTTAAATTACCAATAACTCATAACATTATCCAACAAAAATACACCGAGTAGAACCTCACTATCAATTACTCACAGTGTTGGCAAAACACACTTCCGGGATCCACATGGCACACACAACGTGAGCCCAACGATTATCATCCGTCTGCTTGAATGCCCCACCTTTATTGGGACAGAGGGCACAGTCCACTGCTCGTGACGGAGACTGAAGACACCTTCGACACAGCCACTGGCCTTCAGGAATATAAGGGACCCCATAGCATTCCTGCATAAATGATCAGAAATGAACACATTCATCACAATTCAAAGGCAATTTAAATTAGACTTAATCTTAGCAAGTTGATGAGTACCAGAATTATGTATTTCTTTATCTATTTCTCTATTTCATTAGTAGGCATCTATTTCATTAATGCACTTTCCATATCAATGCATTTACATTAAAAACAAATTTAAGTGATCATTTATTTAAGTGTCATTCACAATAACAACTTTATAATAAAAACTTTTAATATATATTTTTTTACAGATTACAATGATTACTAGTAATACCATACTAAATTCCTTCTAAACAAATTTGTGCATTTGTTAAAAGTTAATTAATCCAAACCTGTCACATAATATAGATATCTACACCTTCTGCCACGAGCCAGCAGAGCTACAAGGACAGTCTCCTGCAGTCTTCCAAGCTTATCTGGAGAGGGTCTCTGGAGTTGTTCTACTCCCTGAGCCCGGCCTGAGCTCAGGCTTGACTTGTGATAACTTGGTCCAACAGGCTGTTGCCTGCAGTCTGTTGCAGTCTATAGCTTTATATAATTTTATAGTCAACATCCCCATGATGATAATCCCTCTCATTTTCTCACTTTCTTCATCCTTCCATCTTGTTCCTGGCACATGTTTCACCTCTATTATTCTCATATATTGTTCACAATACATGCCTCATGTTCCTCATTCCCCTCTTCTTCACAGCACATGTCTCATGTTCCTTGTCTCCCCTTGTCCACAGCACATGCTTCATGTGCCTTGTCCCCCTCCTTTTTCACAGCACATGCCTCATGTTCCTTGTCCACCCCCCCTCCCTTCACAGCACATGACACACAAAGCACTCCCATCATCAATCAAGTTTTCACTTATCTTCACATGCTTAAGACCAGCTTTATGCCAGAAGTTAACTGCACTACTAAACTTACTTGATGAACTGCCAAGTTGCACATATCACAAAAGAGGATTACATTGCTATTTTGACATTCTCCATCCATACAAATGCAGCAAACGGCATCTTCATCAATGGGTACGCCAGAATCTCTACCAGAACACTGCGCCTGGAAAAACATTATTGCATAAGAACTAAAAAAAAAAAACATATGGTACTCTATTTGCAAGGATATAAGTAGGACCTTGTTTTTTTTTTTGTTTTATTTTGCCCATCAAAAGAAAAAGACCAAAATGGAGAAGCGGCTCACAAAATATTGTAAAGCTCATGAAAATTTTGTGAGAGGCACGCCATCCTTCACTAGTCCTATCTGCTCGCCACTGTAGTCATTTTCACCAAAATGGTCTCAACCAACGTTATCACTTTATATTAACCGAGATGGTGATTGACGTTCTTACAGTAAGTCACTTCTATTTTCTTGTCGTTATCTTTTAATTTAAAAAAAAAAAAAAACGACTTCGTAAGTACGGTCAAAACAACTAACGCCAAAAATGAGGCATGTCTTTGAGGCAAAACAAAAGGTTAAACTAAAGATGAGGCAAGACCAATTTCAAAACAATATAATAAAAGACAAAAGATATGTTGTATTATAAACAACAAAAATTCAGATACAAATATTATACGTTAAAAATATATTATTCATCCTGAAAAATTGTACAACAGTTACGGTATAATACTGGCTATACACATTTATTTCTCCATCTAGATGTATTCCAACCCTGGCCACATTGTCCACTACTCCTCCTTGTGCCATTATCTTGAGATAAAATATTAAATCAATTAAAGATATTATTTGTTCAGTACAGAGACTGCTATTCATTAAGGACGCATACAGTAATAAACAGTTACCATTAATCTATCACTCTTCTCATTTTACACAGTATAACTAGAACAACAAGGCCAGAGGGGTAGGGGGGCATGTTACTGTAAATAATACATTATCAAACTACTATGGAAGTCTTTTTGAACATAATGATATATTGTAAATGGCAACATCATTGCCTGGCAACGTTGGGAAGTATTCTCGCCAGTCACAAGACGATGAGTTGAAGCCTCGAGAAGAACCACATTACTACTCGGCACCAACACTTCACTTTTCAGTGCAAGTCCTGGATGCTTATATAGAATAATAGAGGTGCCTCTTACCATGCCTCCAAAGAAACTTGCCTCCTGTTCAGAAAAGGAAAAGATGCAGATAGTAATTTTTAAAAGCATATTTACTAAGCTATAAAAGCCACTTTTTATGCCAGCATATAATATAGGTATCTTTTGTGCTAATAGTAATTTTGAACGTGAAGTGGGATTTTAAACCGAATGCTCATTTTCAGGGAGATGCACAGAATCCAGGTTCAAGTATTTTCCACGAATTCTATAATTTGCCCTACAGCTTACAGTTCGGCGCTATGTATTACGGCCAAAATCCAGAATTGTAGTAGCGTGCGGCCCATAGCAACAAGCTTCCAGCCAGTTAGCCACCTTGGCTCGCAGCCTGCCAGGTTTTGAAACTAAGACTTTTGCAATCATTTTTGCAACCAAGTCAACTTTTCAAAACAATTATGCCTTTCTCTATCACATACAGTACGCATGAATTTATAATCAGATCCAGCCCTACAATGGCTAGTTAAAAGCCCCTATAACATGTTTGAAACCTATTACGCTAGAGTCACGGTGTGAAATTAAAATCTATTGTGGATTAATAGTTGGGTGATGATTAATAACAATATTGATGAAATTAGCTAACCAAATTTATTGTGTACAAATTCATTTTGAACAAAAAGAAATTAACAATTATTTACTTTGAAATAATTTATAAGACAACTCAGTGTGATATATAACCAAGTGCTCACCAGCTGTGCTCATAATTAAAAAAGGGGAAACAAGACCTTATCCTTTAACTGGAAACCATTATTTCTTAACGAAACAATAAAAACAATTGTGATGTATTCATTCCAGAGAGACTCCAAACTATGGGAAGAGGGTATTGACCTTCAGTCAAGTCCATAATAACATTGAAAAAATGGTAAATTATGTGAAAATAATATCCTCATTTTTTTGAAGAACACAAACATTACAAGACTATATTTAAAAAAAAAAAAAAAAAAAAATATGCTTTGTCCCAACAAAAACAATTTTTGTTACATTTGGAATACAGCTGAAATAAGTCTGTACGTCAACTGCAACGACGTTGACATGATTATACTGGGGGGAAGGGGGGGGCGGGGGATTGTCATACTTTGTCTTTTTTTACTTGAATATATTTTCATATTTATTTTCACATTTTTGTGTTTGCATTTGGAAGAATCCGAACACATGACAGTAGGCTGCCTAACATTAGGCACGACGGGCAATTGTCCAAGTTATGGCTACCGTGAACTACACCACTTATGACGCTCCTTCAACCGGTAAAATATTATCACTGCTAATGCCATCATCACCAGGTCTGTCTGTCTAATTTTTCTCTCCATATAAATTAAATTTCCTATGATAAGAAGTATTTTTTTTTATGTAAAGACCTATTTACCCCTTATATTGTTCCAATTACAACAATCAGGTCTTTCCCATTTGATTTGTAAGCTATTTTTAGTCATTTGCACCTCGGAGTAGAATTTTTATATGGCTGTGCTATTTGGGGGGCTAATCGGCATCAATCTGAACTCGTTAGTCAATATAAACAACTAGAGATAACCAACGAGTTTCCCAAAATTACAAACATAAAATACATGTACATTAAAATTCATTTATACCTGGAAAAAGGATTCCTTTTCCAGCCGGTCCATAAGTAGTTCGAACGTTTCCATCGTAACAGGTGTTAGCTCATCGACAACTCTCTTCTCGTTCATCAGCTGCAACCAGGCACGATCTTCCTCGTCCATATCATACTCCACCTCCTCATCTAGCTCCTCCAAACTCTTTTCGATAAATCTGTACAATCATAAAAATATTTTGGCAAATCAGAGGCTAGCAAAGTTATCAAACTTTTAAGACTAACCATTATTATTACTATAATAATAATAATATCAATAAAGTCTAACTGCCAAAAAATCTACAATCAATGCTTTCAAAACATAGATTTCAAAATAATTTTAGGATATTAATTGTAGGCCATTGAGCAATATTTTCTTAAATGTTGCCCGACTGCCAGCAGGTGAAACAATCAATTAAAAACTAATCACTGTACAATTTATATGAAATAATAAAGACATATTAAAGAAAAAGACTGAAAAGAACACTGATAGTCCAACTGATCACCAGTATGTCACTCATGTGCCTATGTAAACTTCACTGGTATCCTACCACAGACAAATATGAGTTTACACCGACCTAGACAAAGTCAGTTAAAACTTATCGAGGTCCCCCCCCCTCGGTTAACCCAGAACAGCTGCCTAACTCCTGGGTGCACATTTACAGCTGGGGGAACAGAGCTCCAAGTGCAAGGAAACATGTCAAAATGTCTCGCCCAGCCCAGGAATCAAAATGAGATATATAGCAGTAGACTACATCCTAGGCTCACAAGTTCAATCCCCAGCCAGGACAGAAATGGCTGGGCACATCTTTCATCTCATGCCTCTGTTCACTTAGCAGTAAACACAGGTACCATTAGACAATGGTTGTAGGGTTCCATTCTGAGGAAAGTCAGTAGTTGGCCAAGGAGGACATCAGTAACCTTAAGTACAAGCTTCTGTTCCCAGTAATTGGAATTAGTATTATTTAACTGTCAAAGTAGATGACCTGTAGTAGTTGGAAGGCTGCTGAGGGGCATCTGGGAGATTCTTGTAGTAATCCTCAATTATTCTAAAGGAGGCCTCTGGTAGCTTATTGGTCTTTTTCTCCTCGATGGTATAGCGTTGTACATCCACTCCCCGGTCTTTGTCATTTGTTCGAGCCTGTAACAAGTGTTGATTATTTAGAAGTGTTTACATTACCACCACTTCCCCACAAAAAAGAAATAAAATGAAGACAGGTTTATTATGTAACTTATGTGGTGTCATAATAAAGGTTATTGGTAAGAAAAAGGTTATTGGTACCATATGCCCAGTAAACATAATACTGATCTAATATTTGGGCTTAGTTTACAAGTTCCTCTGTTTCTCCCGGCTTCTGCAATGCTTTTGTTGCCCCTTGTACATCACTCTCCTCAGGTGTTTGCCTTACTGGTTGTCGTACATTAGTGCTTGGATAGGTGTGACTTTTTCCATTCTCACCAATTAGGCCTTTTGTTTTTGTAACTTTCTGGCTCCAGTTTGCTTCCTTTCAGATACTCTGCATTCCACCAATGATTTTGTAAATGGTTCTGAAATCTTTCAGGAAGGAAACTATGTAACAATAAGGATCTTCCTTACACCACTATACATAAGTATTGATTATCTGAGACAATAAGAACAATCTGTCTCAAGATGCTCATATGGGCCAATAGGCCTTATGCAGTTACCTTCATTCTTATGCTACATGGACACGAAAACATGAAAGAAGAAAAAATAATTCGGAATAAAGTATGGATTCTCTTCAGGAAATACTCAATAAACAAATAAACATGACAAAACCATATACAGTGCTGCCTTTTCTGGGGAAACCTAATTATACAAGAACATAATATAAAATATAAGTTACATACCTTGGGTGGCTTCTGCAAAGGTGTCTTGGGTAGGGGAGAGCTAGGTACACTGGTGGTTTTTGGCGACGGTGCCTTAGATGTCGGTGTTTTAGGCAGAGGCTTGATGGAAGGTGTGCGAGCCTGCTCCTGTGGGGGAGGCTCTTCCACTATAGGGGGCATTGAAGCCTCATAATCCTCCTGCAAAATTCATCAGCTTATAACATTGTAATCTTCAAGCCATCATGGCTAAATATAGAGTACTCTATTTAATCATCAAATGGAGCAGCTAATTAAAAGTCTCACATGATGGAGTGCATAAAAATAAATTGCTTTTGGTGCATAATAAAAATTGCAGCAATCTGTACTAAAATTCTTTTAGCTAATTTGAATGACTCCCTTGTTCTATGTGAATCATTTGTAGAGTTATTTGGCAGTTTTGAGACTTCATTTTCTGTGAAACCTCCAGATGTCTGGAAAGCTTCACAGACTTTCTGGAGGTTTTTCCCTGTGGAACGGCAGACTGTCATTTGCTCCCTGCACTTGTGTGAGGGGAAGTAAGGTTCTGCCTCTGGTTCCTGGCAGGTTATACAAAACTTCAGTGACTGATGTGACCATACAGTATGGAGCAATCTCAGCTTCAATGAGACACCAGAACTCCACCTCTAGAAAAGCACACTCATATCTTTAATGATGCCAATTCTAAAACACTGATGGTTAATTTCTTTATTTAAACATTCACTCTTATCTGTCCGTCACTTTGTCTTAAATATTAGCACTTACCTTGGATAGAATTTCTATAGGATCATAAACCGAGAGTCGAGACAGTTTTCCATCTACCTCGAACTCCACAGTTTTCATATCATGTGAGTAAGGTATTGATGGAGGTTCTGGTTCCTGACTTGCAAGGGGGGACGGTGGCCTCTTCATGTTTTTCTTCCGTGCTAAATAAAAAACAAAATTCACTCAATACAACAGAATCGGGTACAATATTATCACTTACAAAACAAACTTACAAACTTACAAGTACAAAATTCATCCTAAAATATTCAAATATCAAGTACCTATTCCAATGTTAAGCATGCAAAACAACTCCAATTTATATTCAACCAAGCTCAAAAATAAATAGCAGCTTTACTGGCAGATAAGACATGTTTTTGCTCCACCATCAACCAAATATATATTGTATTCATGTACACAAAATCATGTTCTCCCCCCCCCCCCTGACAAAACTTTAAAATCACTTTTAATACATGTATGAAAGATATGCTGGCAGATAGTGTAAGTCTAATCTATGCTTCAAACAGCCCAGTCGTCCCATAGCTATTCTGTTACCAAGTACAGTAATCTGTTCCACAAATCAACAGTACTCCTTCCAAACCTATATTTACCGAGGTCTTTCTAAATCGAAACTTATCCAAGCATAAAAAAAATCTTGTTTGGCTTATAGTATAATGTAGCACATCATCTGTGAAAGGGACAAGAAGCCCAAATTTAGATATTAATAATACAGTAATAATAATTTATTTACAAGAAGGTACAATTGCATTTGGAAGATTACATAATATTTGTATTTTTACATTCTTGCAAAGTCATGAACACGCATAGCATTTCGGGCAGAACTGTATACACTGTATGTATATTCTAATAACACTGTACAAGATAATGCAGAAAGATAGAGGGAGGGAGCAGAAAGAAAGAAAGAAAAATGTTCGTGGCTTAATGTGAGGCTGCACCCTAAAATGCCTCACATTAAAGAAACAGAGTTAAAATTCTAATGGGGAAAATAGAATGCACTCCAAGGACCAAGAATTTTGTACTTCTAAGAACAAAGATCTTAGTGTTGAATTATTTCTGTGAGCATTCTTCGTTACATATCCATCATCTACTCATGTCCAAGAAGGAAGATTGTGTCTGTTACGAACCCAAGTTCATCGTCAGAGCACGGAGCAGTGACATCAATGCCATCTGTGAGTCCGCTCCTGAAACCCCCACAACATGGACAACGCCATCTAGTGATGACGGGAATATACCGGCGAGAGGCGCTAGATTCCTGTCCTAGTCGGCTCGTGAGGTAGCTGGTGCTGACCTCTAGTGAGGTGGTGTTTAGAAAAGCAGCGCCATCTGTCATAAGCGGAATTGGATGTATGTGTCTAAGCCAGTACGTGATGTTTCCTAGTGGTCCCATGTAGTGTCCCAGTGAACTGATGACGTGTCTGTATTCACAGAGTCAACATAGGGCTGCTGTGATACAAGGACAGCCAGTCTTCCCAGGGCAGCCAAGGTCTCTACACCGGTCTGCTTTATGGAAGCAGTGAGTCGCCACCGCCGGAGAACTGTAGTGCTCTACTGTCTGCCTGTGGAGTGGCAGTGACGGGATTCGCAGTACCCAGGGCTGGTTAGTAGAAGAGACAACTGACTAAGGTGCTGAAGAGGAGAGTAACCAGCAAGTTGCACGAAGCTCCTGCCTAGGGCTCGCTACTCTAGTATTTGCAAGTGAAGTGGCCCAGCAGCGCGAGGCTGATTGGTACCTGCCAGCACTAGGCTGGACTGTGGTTGTGGGCTTTCACATGGAAGCACTTAAGAGACGGTAGTTTGGCTGGTCCGTGGCCAGGGTAGACTCATTGTTGTTTCCTGGTACCTGCTAGGAGTAGTACCACGGATGAGGAAACATGGTACAACACTGCACCGATTGAGCTTCGCCGAGTGTTTAGTGTCTACTGAGAGAGTCTTTGGTGTACGTATAGTGTAGTAATACTTCCTTTTAAAGAGTTATATATGGTGATTGGAAAATAATTATATATGGATAAAGTGATGAACTGTTGTATTTAATGTACCTCCCCCTTTTGTTTTACTTGCAATACTGAGCTCGCCCCTTGAAAGCCTCTACTAACTTGGGGCCGGATACCAGAACTTTAGTACCACCAGAAAAGAACCCGGCTGTGTCCCAGTGAGGCTGTAACAGTGTCAGTTTTTTTATTTTATGAAAATAAAGTACATAAAATATACAACTAAATGAAAGCACTTAATTTGACATCATAATTTGTTATAATTTTTTTTTCCATTTGTTAGCAAGAGGCAATTTCTTTTCCATGCTTATATAAAGAAAAGTATTTTAGCAAATGGTACAGAATTCATACACACACATCCTCAACTTTTCAAAAACTTTCAACAAAGAAACTTTCCAACATCTTTCATTCTGTGATCTCAATATTATTAACCAACAACACTTGTTCAAGTGTAAATAACAGACTTAAAAATTGCTTACAACTACTCACCTGATTTTGGAGTGACTACATTTGGGGGAGGATTTTCATGGTCATAAGTGGTCATGTGATGCTGAATCCCAGCCAAGCTGCGATAGATTCTGCCACATGATGCATGGGGGCACTCGTAAGGTGGTTTGGTCATGCGACAGTGGTCCAGGAACTGGTCCATATCATAGCCAAGACCCAGCCGAGGCATGATGAATTTATCTTAATCTGAAACAAATACCCTAAATAAGTTTGATAATTCTGATGCAAATATTTAAATAAAAAAACTGGTGCCCCTCAAATTGCATGGAGATTATGTTCCTGCATACAAAGTGCAAATCAAACTTCAAGGATTAATTTGCACTTTGGTTACTGGTAGGTTCAAGAGGACTCCCAAAGTCCCTTTTCCCCACTCTTTATTCAACAAAAAATTATTAACATATGGTCTCAATACTCCCTTAACTTTCCAGCCATAATTTCAGTACTTATTGAAGTCCAAAATGATAACAGACATGCTATTATACACAAAAATAATCCTCAAAGTTCACATAGCATTGCTATATTAGGTTCAATGAGATTCCTTATATTAGAATACATTAAAGTCTATGTAATAAAGAGACTCCTAAATTTGTACTTGACATGAGATCACAATTAAAGAAACAGATGCAAAATATGATAATTTTCAAGAGAAAGAACTAAGACAGTATGACAGGTATGCTTCATGCCTTCACTGTCTTCATGCTTGGGAAAGCTATAGGTTTGTAATTATTACAAAGGACTACTTCCAGATTATAAAACTCTTAAATTTTAACCAGATTAGTAAGACAGCAAATGATTATTTTCAATTTAAAGGGCTTTCTTTTGCCTTGCATGGAAATCTGCACTATTCAACAGGTCCTATATGAGTCAATACTACAATAGTTATTATTCTACCATATTCCCCAGCTTTGATTTTCACTCTTTGGCCTAATGAAAAATGTATAAAGCAAGGGGAAATATTCTTTCTTAGGTCTGAAGACAGTTATTTAATCTTTACTGGGTTTAATCACCATATACTGTACTAACTAAACATTTCACTGTCACTGGTTCATCTATTATTTATGGACAAATTTGGTACACCTGGGTGAATCACTGCTTTAAGCATGTACAGTATAATTAAAGTAGTATGAGGTCATTGCTTTACAGTATTTGTATTTCATCCTAACATCTTCACCTACCTATAATACGCTATAAAATTGATTGAATTTCAGGTGTTCAGTGATTTTGTTACCTCCTGAAGTAGCTCAAGTCTTGTTGAAGTCCACTAAATACCAGTTACCAAAATTAGCAAAGAACATTTCATCCAATTTAATGCATTAATGCTGCTCTGGATTATATTAAATAATCCAGGCAGAGAGATCCTAAGTTTATTCTGCCAGTTTTGGGTGACCATATAAAATGCAGACTTTTTTTTTTATATATCTAGTGAGAGATGGGCAGTAAGGCGCCTCTGTTAAATGTCAGATTAGATCAAACAAAAATGAATAACTTACATAAGCTCAAATTAAAACTTGACCAGATGGGAACAAAATGTTATCAAGATTTCAACACTTTCCTTGTTACAGCATTAGTTTCTTATGACAGTCCTACATACATTTAACTGACAGCTTTCAAAAAGCATCAATGTACAACAAATCCAAGCTTCCAACAATCACATTAAGCCAGTGAGAGAACAATTCCCACACATCAGCACCATATTAGCAAATTTAAACTAATTACTAATTACCAGAACCCTCACTAGCTTAGCCAAGCTTTATTTTCCTAGAACTGCAAGCCTCCTATTCCTGGACACAGCTTAACTTTCACCATGACAGCAATAAAAACTTGCTATACTTGCCCTCCTGGTATGAAATTTCCGTTCCCAGGTCCTCCTTTGCCCTTCATGGATTGACTTGAGCCAATTCTCAGGGCAGCCTAAGAGAGAAAGAGAGAATCTTAACTGCGTACTGGCACAGAGTGATAAGTTATCTCAAGGCAAGCAAGTTCCTGTGTGTTGAGCCGTGTTGTGCTTTTCCACTGCAATGCTGAAACCCACACGGATGATGCCACTCTTCATCAGCATTTTTGTAGGAAAACGCCACCAAATTTGTCCAATTTGCCATAACTATCAGCCTGGAAACCTGGTCGAGTTGTGCATTGTCTGCGAGCCTGGTACACCGGGTGTTCGCTAGGTATGTGCTAGAGGCGACTGGGAATGAAAGTTCTGGCCGACTCTTGATAGCTTCGGCGGCGGCCCCTCGACGTCCAGACACTCCAGTGGGGGCTTGGTCCTCTACGCCATCTTATTTCTCTTACTCCGTCCACTTTCTCCCGGCATTAGTCACCCCCACAGCATCCCCCACCATTATACAACAACGAGCACTCGTAATAGCCTCACCTAACGCAGCGATAACTTAAAATAAGCCAGTTTTTCAAACGAAGGATCGATCCCATATCCGCCACAAGTCCGCCATTGTCTACCAAAACAACTTTTCTGAGCGGCTGAGAGCCAATCACACTCCAGCTTCTCTCTCGCGGGGAATACAAACTCCGGTATATACTGTGATTAATGTTTCCAGGGGACTCTCTTCTCACGTAGCCCTGAATTACAATTTTAAAATACACTCTACTTTTAATTTTCACCTTTTATATGACCAAGAGTAATGTGATTCTATTCGAAATCCATATATGTGCGATACGATTCGAACAGTACAATATATGCAAGTTTTCCCCATGCTCAATCTTGCTCTTGATTTACTGTGTAAAATGTGAAGTAAGATATAATATCTATGTTTTCATATTACATGTAAACAATCTCAGTTACCATCACTGCACGCTTATAAGTATTGTGAACACACCGATAATATATATATAAATATGCAAGCTGGAATATATACATGCTGTTGCAACACTGCTTAATACATGCATTCCGTATATACCCATTATTGATTACTATATTTCCTTGTCGGTAAGCCAAATTTTAATTGCATTGAATCAATTACTCATTACTTCTATTAGTCTTACCGTAGATATAATAAATTGGCTCTGGGGCATATCGTTGCTTTCCTATGGACCAGCGGCTCGCCGCGTGCATTGCTTGCTGGCTGCCTTCTGTGGAAAACACTAAATAATCTGACGCTTCCCTGTGCAACTGCATTGGGGGGAGGTAGGACGCCCCTTTCTCTCTCCCCTCATGCAGCTACTCCCCTTTATTCCTCACCCCCATTATGTAGAATCCGGAGGCTGGAGCCATTACTGTATACTGGAATTTCAGAAATAAATAGCGTTTTAATGCAAGAAAGGAATATATATGGAACAGAGAAACAATATCAAGTCATAACTTCACATACATGCAGTTGCAGAGTCCTCAAAAATATACAAAATACAGAGCAATTAATGAGAGCTATCCTTGTAAAGAACTAATCTGATAAGGAGAGGGAGAAGGGAAACAAATAAGAAAAATAAACATAATTTGTATTTATTTAATATAAATATAACATTAAATACAATTATTTAATACGTATATAACATTTAAAAAAGTATTCAATAAAAAATATTAAATCACATATTTAGGAATTTATTATGGCAGGTCAAAATGATAGGAACCCCAGTGCTTATAGATCTGAGCGTGCAAGGATATTGACCAGAGCAAGGGAGAACGCGGTGGGCCTGATAAAGAGTAGATAAGGGAAAAGCGGAGAGAGAAAGGGGGGGGGGGTGAAGGGGTCTGAGAGAGACAGAGAGGGTACGCCCCTCCCCTCAGTAATCCCCCTCACGACTGGCCAACTGGAAGAGTAACCAAGGCAACCACTACAGGGTCATCACGCTACCGACAGATGGCGTTTGCAACTGTTTGTTTTGATGTTGTATTTGGGTGTGTGTGAGTAAAGGGGGGTAATTGTTTATGTGGGACGGTGGGGGGTGAGGTAGTAGGAGACTGTGTGTACGGGACTGGCGGCTTCGACATGTCTGAGGCGTAGAAATTGTGGCTTTAATAGTAAAAATATAAAGTAGTTTTCAGGTAAACTGAATTATGCAGTTTATGTAACCGCTTTTTTCTACGATGCTCCATTTGTTAATGTTGTTTTAAAGCCTCGGTGAAGGAAACTAATCAACAAATGCTGATGCGCCTAATATCCTAGCAACTAGAGCGCCGTGCGTTGCCCTTGACTTATCGGGCGCGTTTTATGCATAGTCGATCATGGGATATCCGTATATGGATTGAACAGGATTGCAGTGTGCAGTATTGATCCGTTTCCGGATTGCAGGGAGGGCGGCCTGCAGGAAGGGTTGTGGGATGCATCTATAGACTTCATGTATAGCCGTTGAAAACATGTTCCAGGAATATAAACACCGAAAGATGTCTTCGGAATTTCAATGAATGTACCTTTAAGATTTTAATTTAACATTTAATGTTCAGGACTAAAATATATCTGCTGTTTGGTCAGTAATATTAAGCTATTATAGTGCCTTGATAATCCTCGAGGCCGTTAATTGTTGAAAGATCTAAGAGCCTTAATTCCAAGGTTCCCAACATACAATGTTATACTTCAGCTTTATCTTGGCCGTGTTAGACCCGACCCATTTATATTATGCAGTTCAGTTTTGGTCACCATACTGTAGAATGGACATAAATTCACTTACAGAAGGATGTGGAAGTTAATTCAGGGAATTAGAAACCAGTCTCAAAGAGAAATTATGTATGCTTAATATACATTCTCTATAAAAGCGAAGAGTAAAGGGTGATATGATGGAAGTATACAAATAGATGAATTGTTATAACAAAGGAGATATTACGGCTATTAATTGGGTGTAAAATCTGACAACTCAAAACGGAACATGAAACAATTATGGATACGAATTGGATAAAATAAGACCTAGCCTCAGCGAGTACAGAAAGCCGGCGACTTGTCAGTAGTGCTCCCCATTTGAATTTATTAAGCAAATTACCAGGTTACATAATGGACATGGGATTGCTGGATTGTTTCAAGCGATCCAACGTCATAGTACATTCATGGTTGTATTATGACATACATGAATGCGTTTGGGTGGATATAAATACAAGAAGTGCTTAGCATGGACCAAGAATTTTATTGTTTCCTTTATTCTTATGTTTTCATATGTTCTGCTTGCTTTAGTAATATTAAAATACTTGCTTGCGAACATCTTTTGGTGTACCAGTTCCACATAGATACTTAATATGAGAAGGGAAAGGGAGGGAGGGAGGGAATTATCAGGAGAAAGCCCCAAGCCATTGCGACTATATAGCACTTGGAAGGGATCAGGATAAGGATTTGGGATGGGACGGGGGGAAAGGAATGGTGCCCAACCACTTGGACGGTCGGGGATTGAACACAGACCCGCATGAAGCTCTACTGTCGCTCTACCGTCCAGCCCGAGTGGTTGGCATGAGAAAGAAACCTAATACCCCATAATTATCATTGATAGTTACTTAATTATTTAACTTGTATCAATTGGTTTAGTCATTTATTATGCACCCCATTCCCATCCCGTGGGCGGTGGTTGCAAGGTATACAGAGACACGTAATAGGCTTATGAACTGAACCCTGCAGTTCACTTAACTAAGCAAGTAACAGTCTGGTGAACCTAATTGCATAATTTTTATAAATAATTTTAATAAAAAATTGCGGTTTAAGGCGTCCTTTACATACCAGTTGCGTTGCTCCTGGCAGTATGGGTTCGAGTCACTTCTGGGGCATGAGTTTTCAGTTGCATATAGTCCTGAGGACCATTCAGGCTTGTTCGCATATATATATATATATATATATATATATATATATATATATATATATATATATATATATATATATATATATACACACCCTTACCAGCTGCCTGTAGAACTGCTTAATAATGCATCATTGGTGACTATGAGGCACATAAAGTGTGTGTGTTTACTGGGTCTCGAGGTTTGTCGATTCACAGGGGTGGGGCGCGGTGGGGGGCTGGGTCAGTTGGAAACCGGTTTGTTTTCCTGCTTTTTGTGTATGCGGTGGGTAAGGGGGGGAGGGGGTGTTGCTGTAGGTAGTGAGAACTGTCACTGTAGGTAGGGGAGGCTGTGAGGGGGGTTTTGGGGGGGGGGTGGGGAAGCTATGGGTAGGGGAAGCCGTCACTGTAGGGTAGAATGGGGAGGAATAGGGGGAGGTGGAGGGGCTGCTGAATGGTAAAGGGCATGCAAGGCGTGACGTCTCTGTTGCTGTTGGAACCCCCTGTTGTTTTGATGTTTGTGTTCACCTAAATGTGTTTTCAAGGGCATGTGCTAGCTCCGGATTTATCTTTACCTGAAATATATCTCTGGGTTTTTTTCCCCAGTGTGGTTTAATGTTACTAGGTGGGAGATCCACATTGCGACATAATGTCGTCGTGTTTGTGTATTTGCGATGCCAGACAAGAGGCTACATCAACTCTTGATGTTTTAAGGTGTGTGTATTCACCTAGTAGTATTCACCTAATTGTGCTTGGCGGGGTTGAGCTCTGGAGCCAGATTCACGAAAGCACTTACGCAAGTACTTACGAACCTGTACATCTTTTCTCAATCTTTGGCGGCTTTGTTTACAGTTATTAAACAGTTAATGAGCTCTGAAGCACCAGGAGGCTGTTTATAACAATAACAACAGTTGATTGGGAAGTTTTCATGCTTGTAAACTCTTCAATAATTGGAAACAAAGCCGCGAAAGATTGAGAAAAGATGTACAGGTTCGTAAGTGCTTTCGTGAATCTGGCCCCTGGCTCTTTGGTATTCTGGCTCTTTGAGGGAGGGCAAAAGCTCTGGCTCTTTGTATTCACCTAGTTGTGCTTGCGGGGGTGGAGCTCTGCTCTTTCAGCCCGCCTCTCAACTGTCAATCAATAATCAACTGTTACTAACTTCCGCCCCCCCCCACCTCACACACACACCAAGGAAGCAGCCCGTAACAGCTGTCTAACTCCCAGGTACCTATTTACTGCTAGGTAACAGGGGTATTAGAGTGAAAGAAACTCTGCTTATTTGTTTCCACCGGCACCGGGAATCGAACCCCAGACCTCGCGACTACGTATCTAGTGTGCTGTCCACTCAGCCACCAGCGCCGTATGTGTATGTGTGTGTGTAATATACTGTATGTATATTCATCTCTCAATGAAGTCGAGATCGCTAATCATAATTTCCATAGTATACGAGCTCCCAGTAATGGAGATTACTTTCAGAACATTTCGTTCACCTGCTTCACATAGTATCACACATGTACGAATGAATATCGGCCCCTTACCCTGAAAATAATTATTGCGTGTACTTTTCGTACCCCTAAATTTCACCGCACTGCTCTCAATGACCTTCATTGTACAGCACAGAGCGCTGATGTCCACGGCGGAGTGGGTTTTCACTTTCCCCATCGAATGAAAAATATCCGGCTCCCGTATCCTTTATAATCCGTCGATATCTCCAAGGTTACCGGTTAAAGTTTCAAGAAACATTAACACAATTTACATATCTCGTGAATTATGGACGATT